TATATATATACAGGCTGTCCGAGAAAAAGAGTTGGAATCGATGAGAGATGATTCTGTAATTGTTTCTGAATAACAATTTCCTTTGCCAAAATGCAAAGTGAGGCATTTTTAAATTATTAACGAAAAATACTGACCAATAAAAGCATGTGTAGAGCCCGCGCTCAGACACGGGCGAGGGTCACGACTAGAGCCGATACTCTATTGGCTAAGCACGGCCTACGCGTACTCTCATTGGTCAGTGTTTTTCGTTAATAATTCAAAAACCGTGGCTCACTTTGCATTTTACCAAAGGAAATTGTTGTTCAGAAACACCTCCAGAATTACCCCTTTTCGGTTCTAACATTTTTTCTGGGATACCCTGTATATTCGTTCCCAAGTGTTTAGCACCACGAACACGATAGTCTCTGATCGGGATTCATCGCTAATCATAATTAACAATCAACAATCTTCTAATTCAACGATCTCCCGTTCAAACGAGGAACAAGCGAGTGAAGCTAATCGATAGGCACCCAAAACGTGTAACGTAACATCGCATCAGTGCAGCTCCGGAAATGTGTTTCATATAATAATAATAATAATAATAATAATAATAATAATATGCATTATCAAGTTTAATTAATCAACAGATTATTATCTTTAATCGAGCACCATAACGTACGAAAGTAATACAACGTGCACGAAACAGATCAACCATGAGCTTGTATCACGTTCCTAAATAGAACGATAGAATATAGCTATACATAATATATCTATCGTCATACAAAGCAGGCTAACAGCTAATTACTTCTAAAGGTGCGTTATTCACTTGTCTCGTATCATCGTATCGTACCATCGTCATGTACCGTTGTTACGTGTCATCGTTGAACGTGGACAATTATCCCTCCCCACTTAAATCGCAATTTTATTTGTCGTAATTATTTCTGTTATATTGCATGATCTTTTTAATGATATTTCCATCGAGTTATTACTGTAATCTTTGGATCATACTGATGGATACTGATAGTCATTTAGAAGTTCTCAGACGTAGTCGAATACATGCGATGATTGAAACGATGCAACGTTTGTTTGTTCGTAACGACAGGCAACGGTGATACGATAGGGGGATACGATACGAGTAGATATAGGCGCCTTGACACGTTTAAGAATTCTGAAACGTCGAAGCTTTACTGACTGAAATAAACCGACTTTGTACTAATCGGTAGGAATACGCATGTACGGTGGATAACAGGCGGCTGAGAAACAGACGAAGCAGTCTAGTCGTAATGTCAAGAGGAGACACCTCAGCTGAAATGTTCTCAAGCTTGCGTTTCGGATGCACCATTCATTTATTATATTTACTGTACTACTGCGAACAGACGAATTAACTTTTGGAATTTGAAGAAAGGAAAGCGATTGGTATTACGCTGCTTGCGATTCTAACAGCAAAATCTTTCGTCCTCTGAAGCGAAATAAGTACCATGACCGAGGTATCACGTGTGTACGGAAACTTGGGAAACGACAGAACCAGTTCAAAGATATTACCAAGTTGATATCATCGACGTGCACGTAATTTTTTAAAATCGATCTACGTGGACGTGTCGCTTCAGTTTGGAGATACACACGTGATACGATGCATCGATCGGAAGGATGAGAAGAAAAATATTCGTAAGCTGCATGATATACGATGAGAAACGGAATAAGCGAAACAAATGTAAAGAAGCGATCGGGGGGTATATGTATAAGAGAAACGCAAAGAGGTCAGGTAATAATAATAAGAAGAAGAAGGTATATCTGAGAAGATCGGAAAGCGTCCCGGCACTTTTCTCGAGCACGGCAAGGTCCGACGACGTCCGGATTTATTCGTCCATATGATCGCATTTATTTTCATTCTCGTCTCTCGCACTGTCACCGCTTTCGCTGCCGTTCCCGTGGCCGCTCGTCGCATCGCTTGCGACATCTCGCAGGGTCTCTATCCCTTGTCGGACGTTGCCAGGAAATGAGCGCGATTCAATACTTCCAAATGTCTTTTGTCGGTTTCGAGTTTCAAGAGGATCGACGCCCGATGAAAGAGATCTCGTCAGAATTACTCGGACTCTTTTGATTCTGTCTCGAAATAGAGAGGAACGGCAAGGCCCGACAGTAGCAGGTAATTCGTGTGTGTGTGACGAAAGTATCGGCGGCTTTGTTCAACGATGGTGGTTCAATGCGCGCTGTCGGACATTGCCTGTAACATATACGACACGAAATCCGTCAGAATCGTCACCCGCCGATAGCTCAGAAGCGAGTCTGAAATTCATTTAGTGACACAGGGTGATCCGGGATAATATGCCACGATGTACAATCACTCCCACTGATATTCGTACCCATTTGAAAATAAAGTTCTTTAACAGGGGATCAGACAACTTAATTTACGGATAGTTTGGATGGGGAACAGAGATTCGATCTAAATTAAGACGATCGATCTTTTGAGACGCTGATGAATGATGAGAACCAAAGAATGTGAACAGAAGTACATAAAGGCAATATCGACGATCTATTGTCTAACTAAATAAACGAACACATCGACTGCTACTTTCCATCTGTTTAAACGAATCACAATTATTCTGTGCACTGTGTACACAAGGTTACAAACGATTCACGTCTTTAGTCTACCGTCTGCCATGTGTATTCTTGCGTGTAACAAATAGTTGACAAGAAGCGTATACGAGTTATAAGTAAACTGCGAATTCTTATATCATAATCGATTTCATAAAACTCGTATAAATTGCATTTCAGATGACGACTTAAAGTACTGTCTTAATTTTGTATTACTGATACAATTTTAGATTCTGAAGAAAACGCATTTTTATATGCACATTAAATGAAATATTTACTCTTCTGAAATGCATAAAATCCGCAGTCTATTTATAAGCTTCAAGCATATCCTAGAGACGATGTGCGAAAATGCTATCAAATCTTAACTCGATTTATTTAGACGCGACGTACTTCGCAACGAGAAAGCATTTGGACGACACGTCGTAATTCTTATGTTTTAGTAATCCATGTTCTCTATGTATTCGATGTTCTTCACTGTCTATTGAACAATGCCTACGTCCTCTCATACTTTTATTCCGACTAACGAGTGTTAGCAACGATTAGAGACTGCGAATTTTTATATCACCCAATTTATTAAATTGCAGTTTCTCCTTCCGTCAAGTATTTATGTTATAATTATTTATATCTTCTGTACGCCAGATTTTTCTGTAAATACATAAAATCCGCAGTCTGCTTATTGTGACTCATTTGAAAGAATTTTTTTTTTAATAATGAGAGGATTAGGTAGGTTGATGATGGAACCATTTGAAATCATCGAGACTCGTAAACAAATACATAATTGAAAGAAATGTAACACGCTTGTCAAGCTAATGCAATGATTTGAACATTTGAAAAGCTCGATGAACTAAATGGTATCGAGATTACGAGTAAAGAGAGAAGTGAATTTCTGTAGAATTCTGTAGCCAGTGACAAAAACTGATGCGTGCAGTCTTCTTCTCCGGTGGCTCGTATCATAAACGTTTGTGTAAGAATCACATCGAGTTTTTGTCATCTCACCACAGAATTGATATTATTCTTTCGGGCTCCGCAGATCGTCGGTTCACTCGCGATTAATTCATCTAGAAGTGCAATTGAACATCGTCTGTCGTGAAGGAACTGTACTGTACGGAAACAAAAGTTGTCGGGAAAACACGCGACCAAGTTGACTTAAAATCGGGAATTGCGCAAACCTTTATTCTGTACCTGACCGATTCAATCGACGATTTTAAAACATCTTAGTAAATCTCTGTCAACGGCGTGTGCTCCATGGAGCCAAGGTGTCCACAAAACGAAATTTCGATGTTAAAAAAAAGAAAAACGAGCGAGGCAAATTTCATCGAAGGGTAAAGAATATTCTGACCGAGCTCCATATCATTTTCATCTAAATCACCTGGAAGTGTCACCGATATCGAGTAAATATTTTCGCGGTACGAGAGTCGCGGTTGGGAGAGCCAAAACTGGACCCGAAAAATATTTGCCCGTCCCGTGTTTGTCCCAGATCTGATCTCCAAACATTTTGGCAACGATTTCGCCGATACGGTAAAAAGGAAGTTGTACAAAACTGCACAGGACGCGTTGGTTTGACCGTCCCGTGAAAAAACAAGCAGACACACACATACGTAAAAAGCGACATAGCGAACTGGTTCTCGACGTTCGTTTCAAAGAAAAACGAGAGATAGAGAGATAGAGAGAGAGAGAGAGAGAGAGAGAAAGAGAGAGAAACGAATAGAAAAAAATTCGTCACACTAGGCGTGCTTGGGTAAAGAATTTTGCGTTATCAAAAACTCGTTTGCACTATAAAAACAAAGAACGTTACGCGAGGTAACGTCACGTTGAAACGAGTTCTACATTCAATTCCACACAAGAACGATGTCATTGGATGCGCATTCTTCTCAATAGATACTGTACAACGAAAGCGACAATTATATATATATATTTAATACACACACGTGAATGAGATCGAAAATACAAATAAAACGAGTTCAACATGAATATGCAAGTATGGTAACAATTCTTAAGGTTGTATGAGTCATTAGGTCTTTGCCAAATGTTTAGGACATGTGAGAAAAGCTGGGTCAAATATTTGAAGCAGTGGACTTTTAGAACAAAATGATTATTACAGAGGAGTAGGGTTTGTAAAATTGCTCCACCTGTTATTCTGGGTCATAAAGAATTTTTAACGTGTAATTTCTAATATTCTAATATATTTTGGCAGTTTTTTATTGGACTGTACGTGACTTGCAACTACATTGTCCACATGTCCTATAACTCTTACTTTTGCGTACTTTTTATTGTATAACTTAAATAATATCCTCGAAATTGACATTATTTCAACTTTAAAATATTCTTAAATCATGTATTAAGAATTATACAAAATTACAAAATTCTGTCGTTCGACATAAGAATTCAAGATGCACGTTTTTAATAGACTCACACAATTTCTAAAATTTTGCACAATGTTTTATTAATGTAATATTTAGTAACTGTTAAATTTTCAATGCTTTCTATTGTTCTTATGCGAGGGTTTATACAACCTTAAGTAATAGTCAAACGTACACGTCGGTCTTGTTGAACGTTTCGAAACTGTTCTTTCACAGTGAGAAATATTATTTTACAAATGACACGTCGGGTAACTTGTGCATATATAAATTTTTATAGAATAACGTGTTTAAATTATCTACAGAAGATGTGTCTTGAACTAAAAGTAGATCTCGCCCGAATCGATCGTAACGGTGACGAGTATAAAACAAGTTTCAGGGGTCGATTAAAGTGAGACTACCGACTAGCATCCAATGCGACCGCACTGACGTTCTGGTAACCACGTCTCTTAATCGATTCAGCGATCGAGAGTAACGTACCTTATCTTTAAACGGTATTCTCCAGTGAATGGAAACGTTTGAAACCGAGATCCGGATCTCGACCAAACGTCATCGTTGTTATCGAACGCCCCCGCATGCCTAGTCTCCGCGGGCGCGAAAATAATAAATGAGGATAGAAAAAGAGAGAGAGACAGACAGAGAGAGAACGCACACGTAAAAGAAATGAAAGAGAAACCATATACTCGCAGTCAGTTTTCCTATCGAAGACGACGACGACGACGTCGTTAGAACGTGGCGTTGGATTACTTACGCTAGGCGTGGTGTTGCCCTGGTTCACGTGTTGGGCCGGCACCTCGTCTTGATAGTAGTCGTCGTTCTGCGTGCCAGGCACGCTTTGAGCAAAGTCCAGGAGGCGACGGTTCGGGCTGTCCGGTGTGTTCGGCATGTCATTAGGCAGGTTCGGGAAGCAGGTGGACGCGCTGCGACGGTGTCGCGAGATGCTGTAATGCTCATAGTTACGGTAACAGCCGGGCCCGGTCTGGGCTGGGCCGCGTCCGCACGCGGACTCGCCCTCGGTGCTGTTACCATCCACGCCGGACATATTGTGACCTGCAAACACGTTCCACGACCCCCCTCTGTCTTTTAGAAAAATCCCCTCACGGCGATTCAACCCTGACGCAGTTCAATCAAACGCGGGGATTGCCACCGGGTCATCCGACTCTGGTAATCGTGTAGAACGATGCAAGTACTTCCGAGGGGAGAGAATCGAACAGAGGTGGTGATAAGAGAGAAAGAGAAAGGCATGCAACGATTCATGTTAGCTCTGTGCATCGTAGTACGAAATCGTGTGCGTGGAGGGGATCGCACAGGATCGTCTTGGTTCGAGTGGTACAGGCACGGCATAGGGCTGACTCGATTTGAGTAGTGCAGGCATAGGCATAGCGCGTTCTGTATAGAGCGCGGAAGCACGTGCTGGAAACGTTGTCGTGTTGAGCCTTCGTCTCAACAAGAAGACCCATCGTATCGTAAGATTTCAGGTCAGCCCTGAGTAGATCGATCCGAGCCTTGCAAGACTTTGCTCAGATTTCTTATAGGTGGTAAACTCGGTAAAAAGCTTGCCCATGCCTGACGTTGAAAGGTGACGGATGTAGTTTGAGTAACGAACGATGGGAATCGTATCTTGGTCCGGCGTGGTAGGCTGATCGCGTTGTCAGGTGGACGAGGAACAAGCGGGACCAATTAGCAGGCGAAATTATAGATGCCTACGTTCTAATTTAGCGTACTGGCGAGTTTAGAAATTCGGAATTCAAGTTCGAAAATCTGTGGAAAGTGGTCCAGTATATAAGAAGAACATGTAAAATTGCTAACTTGATAAAAGACTATCTCCGACTTAATTACTCGGTAACTTTACTACTCGGTATAACTAGACAGCGAATATTATGGATTTGGATTAGTTAGTAAATGTGTTCAAAACATGCGGAACTGATTGCATGTTTCAAGTTCATGTCTAGTTATAAAATTCGACGTAAAGTGACGATGACTCGCTCGTGCGAGCTTGTCGGTCTTTTTATATCACCTTCTTCAAGGACCACTTGTCGAGACAGTAGCGCAAGCGTAAATTCATAACTGATAAAATAGTCAAATAATAATTGTTTGGAAGCGTGGACTCCTCGTCGATCTCGACTGACTCACACTTCTAAATAATTGCCAAATAGATCGTTTACCATCCACGTCGGACATATCATGAGCTGTGTAGGTGCAACTTGTTAAGCTTACAATATGTAGTATAAATACAGACACTGCGGAACTGAAACAGCCCCGGAGCGTCTGTATACACGTAACTTTATTCGTTAATGTTTAATCAGAGAGTAGTGAATGAACCACGAGAGATGGTCTCCATAGCTCTGACCAAGAGCCTAGTTAGTTGAGAACGTTAACTGTTGGTCTGTCCAGCGTGGTAGGTCGAATCATTAGCTAAACTGATCGCGAGGAAAGCAACAGGAAACGAGGCACCGCATCGCAAACGACGAGACGCCACGAGGGACCGTAATGCTCAATAGCTAGGATAACAGCCTGACCTGGTCTGGGCAGGGCTGCGTCCGTACACGGATTCCCCCTCCTTGCTGTTACCATCCACGCCGGACATATCGTGACCTGAAAACAGCCTCAGTATCCATTATGTTTTTCATTATTATTAGGCCATCAATTCATCAACCTTGACGCAGGACAGGCTCGATCGAACACCCCACTATATGATCTATGCGACTAGACAGAGTTCGATTTACGTTCGGTGAAACATAACAAATGAGACTGGCTTCTTTTTTAGATAACAGAAAATGGCCTGGCTCGAAATCGTGACTGTTACATCTTGTGAAGGTTCGTATTCACTTGTATCATACCTTCGCGTATCATCGGAAACGAACGAACATACAATAAATCATACAATAGAATTTCAACGAAGAATGAACGTCCTTTAAATAATGATGCGCAACAATACAACTGGACGCGGGTTTTAAGTATGCACAAATGACGACGATTAGGTTTCATGCCGCACTTCCGTGCAATCTAACAAGCAAACAGAATGAAAATTCCATAGATCGATGAACCGATTTCATTTCACGGATTATGAACAGTTCGGTGCTGTCGCGTTAATGAGAATGTTGATAATGAACAGATCGGTGTTTCTCGAACGGTGCAGTGTAGCCTCCATACGTACCTACTCGGACAGTATGTGCATTGCTCCTGCGTCAGAACTGATTTATCGTTCTTGCGTCAGGGTTGATAAATTGTTAATGCTCGTTACGACTTCCGTTTCGGAAGATCGTTCGTCGTGCCGATATCGACGGATCAGAACGACCGAAATAAACGGGAAAGAGACACGTGAATGCTGATGAAGCAACGTCCTTCTTAAGTACGCCGCACTCTTTTTCAACTGGACTAAAGTTAGTAGGTTTACGATTCATAAAAAAATACGCAGCCTATTTACACAGGGTGTCCCAGAACTCGTAATGGACTGGACCACGATTTCTGCGGCACCCCGTCGTTTAAAATATTTGTAGAACAGAGAACAGGCTCGGTCATCGAAGGTTTCACACTTGGTACGCTTAGGCATCCTGTTTGGATGCGCGGCGGTGCCGGTGGCTTACCGGTGTCGACGATGACGTCGATGAGGTCCATGCTCTTGGCGAACGCGTCCCTCAGGTTGATGTGATGAAAGGAAACGATGCTGCCCTCCCTCTTGGCCCTCTCTAGGGCCTCCCGCCTCTTGAGCGCCTTCTCGCGCCTCATCTGGTTCTTGTAGAACTCGGCGAAGTTGTTTACGATAATGGGAATGGGCAACGCGATTACCAGGACACCACATATACAACACACACTGCCGATCACCTTGCCGAGCGGGGTCGTAGGGTAGATGTCGCCGTATCCGACGGTTGTCATTGTGATGCCCGCCCACCAAAAGGTTTCTGGAATGCTTATGAATTTGGTCCCGGGCTCCTCCTTCTCGGCGAAGTAGGCGAGGCTCGAGAATATGAGGACACCCATCGCCAGGAAGAGCATCAGCAGGCCCAACTCTTTGTACGAGTTGCGCAGGGTGAAACCGAGGCTCTGGAGACCGGTCGAGTGCCGGGCCAGCTTAAGGATCCTCAGGATCCGCATTATACGAAATATCTGTACTACCCTGCGCACGTCCTGGAACTGGTCGGTCGCGTTCTTGTTAGTCTCGACCAGGAACAACGATACGTAGTACGGGAGGATCGCCAACAGGTCGATCACGTTCAGACCGCCCTTGAAGAACTTCCACTTGTCCGGCGACGCACTGAACCTAAGCACGTACTCGAGCGTGAACCATGTGATGCACACGGCCTCCACCATAGCGAGCTGCGGATTGTCTTGAAAGTTTCCCTTCTCATCATTCACTTGCATACTAGGAATGGTGTTGAGAGTTAGTGCGATCGTCGAAAGCACAATAAAGAGTATTGATATCACAGCTATCACCTGCAAAACCGACGGATCCACCGGTCAAACGGACGTATCAAATCAACCCTCTTAACACCCTAACCGATTACAAATCACAAGTACTGCTACGTGTCTACGTATCTCTTTTCTTCGTCCCTCGTTAGTCTTACTTCCCTGCTACCCTCAATGTACAGGGCAACTCGTTTCTTAAACGACGACTACGACCGTCTATAGGTAAAAAAATACTCGCTTAATCGAAAAGGGATTAAAAGTTAGAAGACAAGTTTTACATTATGAACATCCTCTAAAGCGGTTGTCAACGTGAAGAACATATCTGGCAACGAGGAATAAGTAACTGAAACGTTCGACTTGCCCTACTTCAGGTACCTACATACACGCCCGTACAAATCCCTTAATCTTTAATCGTGCGAATCGATCACCGTTCGTCGGAATGCAAGTACGTAGTCAAATCTTGATTCGTAACACGTATCGGTGAAAGAAGGTACGAAGAGTCCTTCCCCTTCGTTTGTTCAGCCTTTCAAAAGCGATAACTACCAAAAACAGTATAAATATCGAAAGCTCTGACTGCACGGAAGCATTGAAATGATACACCAAAACACAATAATTATTACAACATATCTTTTTATCACTGACAAAATAGAATTAAACATACGAAGCAAGCGACAATTTGCATTACGTAAAGAAGCTTATACTCCAACCGTTGTTAGACGCCGTTCAAAAAGGGACGCGTAAAAAATCATCGAAAGAAATCGTCGACGAGTTCTCGTCTCTAGCCGCACTTCCTGAAAGAGAGGCGCGCAAAAATGCCTATCGACGAAATATCGACCGAGGATGAAGAAACGGGAACGAAAAGCTCGAGGACACTTCGAGAGTGAAACAAGGATCGAGGAGGAGGGGAAGATGAATCGCGGCATTTTCTAACGATTCTAGAGCATTTCCCGCGGAGACTGGAGACTGTACAGAAGGTACAGTAAACAGAGTCCGCTGAGAACTGCTATAGAAACGTGTAGATCACCCGGATTTATGCACCAATCGTTATCACGTCGTTTGTAGGCTGTCTGCCCGACGTCGCTCGACTTATACAAGTTCTGTATACTTTGGTCGGCATGCGTATGACACACTCGTTTCTGTCAGTCCCTTCAAAACCCCGCTCCCTTCTTCGTTTCGTTTCTTCTTTCTGATTTCACAATCACCCCCCACCGCCCTTTCGTTTAACGAAAAGCCAAAAGGTATCCAAACGACTGAGAGGAGAATACAGAGAACCGAAGTTCATTAGCTAGTGCGATCGCTACAAAGCGAAATCAATTCGTCGCAGTTCGGGGAAGCAAAAGAAAAAATGTAGAAGGCTGTCGCGTCTGTTTTCATGCAAGTCGTGATGGGAATGGTTAAGATTTCACGCTCTTTTTATAGGCTGTCGTTATAAATGTGATTAGGAGAGTGCTCGAACAACGTTACGTCAGAGCGAGTCTGGTGCGCGACGGTTTATTGTGCAGGGGATTGAAATTCAGTGCGGAGAAAGCTGTGTTAAGCAAATTCTTTTATATCGATCGATCGATCAATGTAATACATTTAAGAATAGGAACGGTCTCGTAGACGTTGGAACAAAAAGTTCGCAGAACTAATTCTAATTTCGTCTAATTCAGAGAAATCAATGCGCGTATAGTGCAATCGACTGAGAATAAAATTAATCGACTTGCGTGATCTTGAAATTGAACGTCTCTTTGGCATAATAATTTCCTAAGACACAATCGTTATTTCGTTTATTGTTCCCAATTCCTAGGAACGATTCCAGTTTTGCTGTCGCACGTGAAACATGTTTGTTTCCGCGTACCGAACTGGTTAACACTTCGAAGCGCGCTTCACTTTCTAGAAAGCAAAGCAAGTACAATTAAGACCCTGATGTACAGAACTCCTCTCGTTCCATAGCGACGCTTCGCTGAGTATTTACATAAAAGCTGCATAGAAGTTTATGAAGCAATTGGAGCGATTCGGCGCAAATCATTGCTCGAAATATAGTAAACGTTAAAAGAATAAACAGTTGCATAATTACATTGCGAAACACAAGCTCTTTATTCTTATATGTATACTCATGTTAATAAGGGAACGTAACGCTTTAAGGTTGTATGAATCATAAGATCTCTGCCAAAAGCTTGAGACATATAATACAAAGCTGGGTCCAATATTTGAAACAGTAGACTTTTAGAAAAAATGATTTTACAAGAACAGTTATCTCAGTTTATGTCAGGTGGATCGATGCTCGGATATCGTAGGTGTACGATAAAAGATGCGAAACACAGGTAGAGGACGTAATTAAATCTAATTTTATATGTACACATATTGTTCTAATTTCATCTCGCTGTTGACTCTCAAAAGGATTGCACTGTACGTACACGTGTATAGCATTCGTGCGCGACGAATTTAATAAGCAGACCGCAGATTCTGCGCAAGCAAATATGAACGTCAAAAGGGATCTCGACGTGAATCCCTTCGCGTAAAAATCTGCGATCTATTATTATTAAGGATGAAGAAAATTAAGAGCTGTGAGAAGGAGCAACGTCTAACGTTGTCCGTAGATACCTATATCCGATGCAGCTACACGTTATTGACCGACGGCCCCTCGCACGGTTTAAATATAGTGGAAAATCAATAGAGTTTCTGTAATATTGACGCATCGAACGAGAATTGTTTCATCTTAAAGAGTTCGGGAGTTCTGTTCACTCCGGGAAGCTACTCCTCCGCTCACGAGTCTTCGACGAAGACCGTCTAATACAGATTTTATAAAACGTGTTAACGTGCCGGAAGTGGATTAGAAAGCAATGAGAATTTACTTTTTCCAATTGCATCGAACGTCCACACACGTGATAACACAGAAACGGAAAGAGAGATAGAGAAAAACAGACTGTGAGAGAGAAAGGGAGAAAAGAGAGAGTTACAGATTTGCTTTTTAAAGAATACACGTTGAAGTTTAGTGTGACAGATGACGGGTGATGTCGGAGTCAGTGAGGGGATTAGACAGAGGTGCTATTTAAGTATAACCCCGCATAGTACTGTTTCATCTTTGGAGCAACAGTGTGTGCAATGTGTATTGTTTGTGGTGTGTATGGCAAGTATTGGAACATGAAACAATATTTGTTATATACGTGACGTCGCATCGTCGCGTCGCCGTCAAAGATTCTCCTGCGTCCAATACGTTATCGCTACGTAGCATCGACGTTACTCCGAATTAAACGTCTGCACAAAAAGAAATATATTTGTCTATCCATCGCTATCTACCATCCGCCAATCTAGAGTCCAATATACGTATACACCGCAGTAAACGGTGTGTAAAGATATTCTGCTTCTAGTCTCCTACGCTCTAAAACATTCAAACTTGTTCTGTAAGGTCTTATACATAAAGCGTCTTATAGGAGAAGACTTACATTTCTTTTCGAGCGACGCTAGATTCGTTTCAGCTATTTTTTTTAACGTCCGATGATGACCCATGAGACGTTAGTAACGATTGTTTGTTTCGTTCAAACGACGAGATTGTTAGTCATGTTAAATTGGTATTACGTTAGCATGTGAATATCGAATTGAATTCGCTGGTAGCGAAGTTACTATCATATCTCACAGGGAGCGGTGTCGAGAAAGAATCTCGTGATACCTGGTAATCGCGTATTATGTACTCCCATTATCATGGAAAGACAAGATGATCGTTTGAGAGAAAGCGTGGGACATTACGACTACTAACGGGAGCTAGAAAGCTGGATTACGATAACAATGATATTAGTAATGATGCTGTTAACACCACCTAGAAATAAAATATACGATTACGTACATCGATATAGCGTGTTGTCCCGTGATATCAACGAGTTAATCTAGCGTATGTACATAAGAGACTTTCTATTCATCAACTCTCCTCTAAATCTCATTTACAAATTTATAATACGTCTACGTTCAGTGTACATTATTATTACATCTATCTCTTTATATGTGTTTCCATATGTACATTTTATACACGCACAGATGTACAGGACGTCCTACTTTAACTTTCGGAGGCAATTATTTTCCGCGCCAGGCTCATTTGAAGAGTCATCTATTTTCAAACGAGATGCAGTTTGGGAAATAATTGGCTGCGAAACTTCCTGGATATCCTGTATGGATACTTACAGTTTATTGCAATCAGGAAAACTTTAATGCATCGATACTATTACGTCTCAGCTAATGAAATTATTATTGGCGACGTTAATAAACTTCTACTGTTCCCTCCCAGGTCGAGAGGGAAATGTGACTAATTGATGTATGTAGTAACTGATTAATGAGTTATTTTGATCTGGCTTTGATCGAAGAGCAGTAACATTAATACTGATTCCACGTGAACGTTCTCTTATTAATAATAATGATAAGAACTCGTAGTTTTTATTAACACATAGGTAAAACGTAGCATATGCAAATCGAATCATGCAAAAATTCATTATCTCTGGTTCAGAGGTGGTACGAGAGGATAAAATTGAAGAAAATTATTTCCGATGATCAAAGCTCGAGCCAGAATCAAAATGCGATCGGTTTACTATCTCGATCGTTAATCTACGAGAGGGTCGAGTCAGAGACTCGCATACGTTCCCACTACTATTTTGACTAATCAAGAGCCGATGCTATATTATCAACTTGGTAATACCTTTCGAATTAAGGATCCAGTAGAAACTGCAAATGTGGATACAGCGTCAGTAAATTAGTTTCGAGTCGAGTGGTTAGTAGAATTTCCAATATTTAATGGTCGGGCAAAAATTTCGAGAATCGTCGTATCGCGCACGAGATTTTGTGATCCATTAGAGAGGTGGAAAAGAACAAATGGAACGATCTTATACATAGATCAGATATGTCCTATCGTTGATACTAGTCCAGCGCGATGAACAACAAAATTCAAAAGACGTTCGACAACGGCGACCCTTGTAACCGAGTTTCTAAGAAATAGTCTTTGGCTCCGATTCAAGTCCTTGTTCGCAGAATTCGAGTTTCGAATAATGACTTCCCAACTCTCATCGGTATATAGTTTTGTAAAAAATTCTCCTTTGCGCGAATGCCGATGCAGACGCAATTCGACTGTCTAAATGAAAAGAAAGCGACGATCGACGTGACTCACCCTTGCAGCGATGGACGTGGTCGGCTTCTCCAACAGATCCCAGAGCCACTTTTGGTACTGCGCGCACTGTCCCTCGCCGAATTCCTCCTCCTCCCTTTGCCTGAGCGACTCCGCTTCCTTACGCATCTCCTCGTGGACGTGCTCCTTCCTCTGGTGGTACTTGTGCTGGCAACAGCTCTCCAGGTACAGCTCGTCGACGCCCCAGTATTCGAGATCGTCGCTGAACGCCAGCACGCACATCTCATCGACCAGGTGCAGCTTGCCGGTGCGATAAAAATTTAGTATCGAGCTGAAAGACTTCGGATGACGGTCGAAGAAATACTCGTTGTCGATCAGCGAATAATCATCGCACAATTCGGTGATCGCCTCGTGAGTGTTGCAGTCTTTCAACCGGCCTAGTCGCGTGTGCGGCAACCTCTCGAGGGTGCGCCAGAGCACTTCGTGCTTGACACCGCCAACGTTGATCGAGACCCGTCTGTTGAGGGCCTTCGATCTCATGATCATGAACGGCTCAGGCGGAAGGGACGTCATCGACCTCGAGAAGGCACGCTGCTGCTGCATCTGCAGCGGCAGGGGCGGTGGCGGTAGCGGCGGCGGCGGCGGTGGCAACGGCGGTGGCAAAGGCGGCGGCAGAGGTGGCGGTGGCAGACTTACCGGACCCACCGTGCCGGTCGGGCCCACGGTCGTCGAGAACGGTGCGTATCGCACCTCTTTGTTCGCCCCGCCGGTTTTACCCCCACCGACGGCGAGCCCGCCACCTCCTCCGGTCACTCCACCGCCCATGCTGACACCCGAAGGCCCGATCAAACTGCTACCACCAACTCCGATACCGAGGAGGGCTCCTCCTCCACTACCGGTGCAGCTAGCGACCGGCACGCCGGCTGCACCAGCCCGCTGCAACGTCGTCGTGCCGCCACCCTCGAACACGAAACCCTGATCGGTGCCGATGTAGGGCACCGTACACGACGACGACGACGATAGCACCGGGCCCGTGACCACGGCACTTCCATTACGTTCCCCGTCCGCCAGCGTTGAGTCGTCCTCGAACCTCTTCTCACTCAGCATCAAACGCTCAGCTCTCGGGACAGAGACGAATCACGCGGTTCCTGTTCCTCTTCCTGTTGTCGTTCCTTCTCGGGGTTCGCGCGACGTGCTGTCTCGAAGCCACTCCACCTCTGTCCTCTGCTCTAGCGATGCTGTTCGCTTTTTCTTCGTCTCCTTCGCCTTCTTCGTCTTCTTCCGCCTCCTCCTCGTCCGGGTTACCCTTCTTGTGCTTCATCCGTAACTACGTCCGTGCACTTCCGTTGGCTCGGTCGTACCGCGCCACGTCATTATCTGGAACGATGACAATACAGACATTGGCATAAATTGATACACGATCGTTTTGGAATTTCTTTAAAAACGGAAGATGACTGATTAGCTCGATCTCTGATCGGGATCATAGGGGACGGCTTTGCAAAGTTTACTCCGTTCATTGTGAACTCGGTGGAATGAAGTAGAAAATCGTTTATAAGGAGGCCGAATTTCAAATCTGATATCATCAGGTCTGCGTTACTATTTTCGTACGTGTGGCAGAATCTTTCTCCGTTACGTTGCTGCTGTTCGCGAGTAACCGAGTAGACATCAGAAGAGACAAGAAGAAGAGTCGGGAAAATAAGTTACAATTTCGGAAAGAGGAAAATGAGAAAGGCGGGAGCAAAACAATATGTAGGATTGGGTGCTATTTATAGAAGTTACGAGGTCAACACACTCTGACCGAGTTTCTATGCGAAAGGCACCTGTCCTAATAGTCCTGAATCGTGCACGTGGTTTCATGCGACCCCGGATCAGTATGCAACGGGGACGATTATTTTCACGAACAACCGCGTATCACAATAAATAATGATAATCACTGGTCGACCCGTTTCCATCGTCAGTGGGTTGAGACTTTTCGTCAGGCCCGGTGGACATTTAAAATTGAAGGAAATAAAACGCGTGCACACGTACAAACACGTATGCAAATATACTATTTGCTTGTTTATGATAAGCACACTTAGCACAGATCCTCTATGAAGATTGTACAGTCACGAAATAATTTGATCGCATCTCCTCGAAGTTAGCCTTGGATTATATTTCTAGAAATAAGTCCGTGCTCGAGCGAAATGCATTTTACTTAGAGATTGATAAAATGCCGACTGTTTTCTCTCTTTCTCTCTCTCTCTCTCTCTCTCTCTCTCTCTCTCTCTCTCTCTCTCTCTCTCTCTCTGGAAGAATGTACAATTCTTGTGGAGGAAATTAAAAGTGTTTTAATCCGTCTGAAAATGCACATGCGCTGGGGTCTAATCGTAAATCAAAGAAAGTTTCTATTACCAGAGATCTTATTGCCGTTGCAAACTTCACTTTTCTTTATTATTTCAATAGTAATGACCGTGTTAAAAGCAATGTTAGTATAATAAATTGTTCCACCGATCTACAAAGTGAAGCCAAGGATTTTCTCTTCTAGGCTTCTTATAAAAAATATAATGACCGTCTACGAGAATAGTATAGTATATAAATTGTCCCAGTAGTCGATGGAGTATCGACGCAGCCAAGAATTTTATGTATTTGACTTTTCCCCCCTGTAGGTGTACTCAGGGCCTCGAGTGTATTCGTACGCATGGATGACGAGGTAAACGTTAGTAGTAGCACAGAATAAACACATCTTGATAACTCTCTCTGTGTTTCTGAATAAACGAACCTTCTCTTACGAACAACGAAGCAAATAGAGAGAAAAACGGAGTTAAAGTGCAGAGAGGAATGAACGGACGGGGCCAAGAGGGGGGCAAAGGGGGGTGGTGAATCGATCTTCCTCTCTTGCGTTCTGAACGCCGAGAGTCCATCAGAAACGCACGATCCCCAGGAAGGCCAGTTTAATGCATATGCGACGAGCACAACGCGATGTTACAACTTCTTGGCAATTGTTTGGTGTCCGCGTGTCGATTCTAAAAGCTTTTTCCGTGGAGCGAGTACTTCCTGGTATCTACTTACTTTCCACAGATCGATCCGTGGGCGGGAGGCAACTGCGCGAAACGAAATTCTGAATGCCTTCGCATGAAACGATTGTTACGTGCGCATTAATTTTCCATGTTTTATAATCGAATAAACAAGACGAGAAGGCAAATAAACGTGCCGCGTGAGTTCTTGCACTTTTATTTTAACACGCGTTTTCATGCGCGTTGGAACAGGTGAAAGACTGCTTCGAAAATAATTCCGTGCTTCGACTGCGTCCTGCACAAGTATTAATAACCATAAACAAAATCGTAAATAAAACTGGCCGTAGCCGTGACAGTTATTACGAGGCCGGCCACATCCGATCCGACGAGATTTACAGGTGAGGAAATTAGTCAGTGATTCAGTTTTGAGCCGCTGTGACACGATTGAATCACGTCGATTTCCTGTCCTGTGGAGTAATACGAAAAACGTAACTATTAAATGTCACGGCATTTGTTCGTGGCATAATTCCAGACTGGGCATCCCCCTTGCTACCTCTAGCTACCTCCGTGCTTGTTACGGCTCAATGTTCTCGTTTCTTTTTATCGATCAAATTATTATTTCTTACTCGTTACTGGCTCGTTGCTGTCCGTGCATGCATACGCAGTAATATGCATGAGTCGGTGTCCTCTGCCAGATAAATTCGAGAGAGAGAGAGAAAAAATCTTTATGCAACGACGTTCGCATCGGCCAACGACGCACGGGATAATTGTAGTCTGTATTATTTAAACTCTTGTTAACCGAGTATTGTTTGTTCGTATGCACGATCTGGATCTTGGCTAAGTGTCAATGTAATGTTATATGGCCAGCGAAAATATTCGAGAAGTGTCGTAAGGTATGCTTCGAATTCTCTCGCTTTTAATAACGTCGCCCGGCTCTCCGATGCACGACGTCGTGTTCGTTTTTATCAAAAACATTATTCACAGGTGCGCGCATCCAAGAAATGCAATCGGCAAAATATGAGACGCGCGCTCCTCTCGAGCGATCGCCTCTAAGTAGTACAGATAGACGATAATCGTTACAGTAGTAAAGGACGGTTATATGCCTGCGCCTTACCGAAAGCATGACACATTGTCTCGGTTCTGTATACGGGTCAAGAGAAAACGGGTTGCACTGTCATCGAACCGTAGTAATAATAAAAAAGTAAAAAAGAAAGAGACACGATTAGTTTATTCCGATCCGAATACTCCTTTGCGCCTAGAAACCGTCTAGAATCCGACTCGCCGACTGAAATTCCATGTGACATTCTTCTAAATGAGAATCGAAACTGCAGGCGAACAAACGTGAAAGACGATTGACAAACTGTGGCTTGTATCATCTTGCTCGAGATCGATAGAGGAGTGACAATAAAGCGAACGGTCGCACACGATTTTTGCGATGATCAAGGACGAGCATTCGATTGAGGGATTTCGAGTTATCTGGGTCTCGTACGCGTTCGGGGACACGATTTGACGGGTTGCCGGTACGATTCTATAACGAAGTAGCTCCTATACGGAAATAGACTTTGGACGATGGTAATAGGAACGGTCCGGAGAGAAGAAGCACTTTTCGCGACTCACCTCTGTTTTTAAACACGGCCGTCGTTCGTCCGAGGAGACAGGGCATCGCGCACGGCGGTGATACAGCAGCACATCTCGTCTTGTGCGAGACGGTACGACGAGGAATAAAGTGCTCCCGTGACGGGGAGCTGTGACGACGGTATCGTACTGCCACTTGTTCCACTGCTAAGCGCTGCAATCGATGTTCGCGCGTCTATCGATTAGGAAACGGTCAATGTAAAATGTGACACGGTCACTCCGGGATGGAATTCCGAATGAAAATAAACTCTCGCGGTCTCGTTCCCCAAGATCACACGAGTAAACGATTCAAATTAAGACCGAGACCGTCGCTGCACGATCATCGTTGTTAAATATCGGTCGCGGAGTCGCGTGGCGATTCTCTCAGAGAAAAAAATCTCTGTTACCCGTGAAAACAGCGGCGTACCGGCGTATTTGGCAACGATGACGATACGAATTCTACTAATATTATAACTGGTACTACTACCACCGGAGATATTGTTTGGACTGAAGCCAGACGTGCGCCTGCGTCGACGAATATTGTACTCCGCTGCCTTGTCCATCGCGCGTGTCATGAAAATTTGACCTCTATCTATGTACATACCGCCCGCTTTTTCCCTTTTCGCCGACCGATAGCTCGATATCAATTTTGAACCTGTATAAGAGTCGTGCATGCGCGCGACATAGACCGCGTGCGCGCGCAGGGGGTACAAATTCGAATTGACTCGTTTAATCGTTCCGTGTCCAAGCCATCATCATCAGAAACAAAAGTTACAATAGGTCTCACGGATTGTTCCTTCGATCGCGGATGAAAACTAATTAATCAACCGCCGAATACGATAGCCCGAACGAATCAATGAAATGAAAATTGAAATAAAAAGTAAAAAAGTAAAACGAACGTATGAAAAGATAAATTTATTCTCTCCAAGAAACGTGTACATCGTCTGTCCTATATCTTTGTATACAAGTTGTCTCCGTCCATGGAGTGTGTCCCTGACTTTTGTACTGAAGTAGTCCAGCTACAGCAATCATTACACCGTTGTCTATACAAAATCGTTCGTCCGTGGCGTAAAGCACCGCATTCCTTTCCTCGCACATAATCTGCATCATGTTTTGTAACCTCTCGTTGCAACCAACACCGCCGACGATTAATACCTCAGATGATTTCACATGAGCCATTGCTCGTTCTGCAACGTCATTAAAATTGTATATACTCGCGTTGGTTAAACTTATATTTTTAGTATAACCGATATAGCAATATACCCGTAATTTCGATGAGCATAGCGAATACAGTTTCTTGTAAAGAGAAACATAAATCTTCTGGGGTGAATTCTTTCGAGTCGAGCCAAGACGATATATGTTCCTCTATGTAGCTTAAAATTCCAGAAAACGAAACATCCATTCCTTTTACTACATATGGCAATGGAGCCAACTTCGTTCCCCTACGAATGTGATTTATAAAGTGGAGATGCGAAACTGATGCAAATAGCTTTAGTCGAGCAACTCACTTCTTCGCTAATTGTTCTATATTGTAACCAGGACTAGGATCGTTTGAAAGTTTTAACAATCTCGCGAAACGATCCAAGCAGTTTCCAACAGCGATGTCTATCGTCTCACCGAAAATGCGATATCTTTGACGAGAGTAAGCGATGACTTGAGTGTTTCCACCAGAAACGTATAAAACAGTTGGATTTGAACTTCTGGTGATTAAGCGTCCCATTTCTATGTGACCTACGCAATGATTCACTGCGACCATTGGTTTATTGTACATTTGGGCAATGGTCCTTGCCACCAGAGCACCGACCGTCAAAGGTGCTCCCATTCCTGGTCCTTTCGTGTAACATATCACGTCCACCTCTTTCAATGTTATCTTAGCGTCCTCCAATGCTTTTCGCAGGATGTCGAGAACATGTTCTCTATGGTGCTGTGCGGTCTCTCGAGGTAGGAATCCTTTTTAAAACAGTCTTTTAAAGGTTTTGCATCTAACATTTAAGAAGACGAGAATTTTGTAATATGATTACGAACTATGTTTACCTTCGCCCGGTGGAGTAATGTATGTATGGCGTACGTTTGACAGAACGTGTTCATCCTGAATTATTCCAACGCCCAATTTATTCGCGCTACCTTCGATTCCAATTGCGATTACCATTTCTCTTATTCCAGAATTGTTGTGAATCCAGGTTGGAAATCCGTGTTCACGGTGTGAATCAAACTTAAACCGGTGTCCCGTGTTCCGTCATTTGTGCTGATTCGTGCGCTGAAGAACGTTCGCAGCACCATCTGTCATCTACGATCGCTCACCTCGGTCGGAATTTGGAACGCATCCTCTGCGTTTGGTGCGGCTCGGCTCGGCAGACTCGATCAAGCTCAGTGCAGCAGTTGAAGAAAAAGTCTCCGTTTAACGAGATCACCATTCGTAGAACGTCACGCGGAAGTGATTCACGGAGTTCTCGCGGGCAGAAAATGCAAGTTTCCGAGTTGCCGCGGTGAGAAAAGTGAGTGTCGTTATATCGAAAATGATTGTTGGGCCGTTGGTGAATGTCGTGATATTCCACGAGTAGCACAGCGCTCACTCTGGGTGGTCGATTGATTTTCAAAGTGACCGTCGGTCGGGTGCGAAACGAACGAACGAACGCACGCCTCCGACGCTTCGGTAACACGAATACGCGGTGGCCATCCGACCAACGCTGCCAAACATAGATCTCCATTCCGTCGAAAGTAAAAAGAAAAACGAGTTCTGTGAAGCTACGGTTATTAGACAAAACATATACGTATAGTGCAAAGGTGTGTACCCAGAAAACGGAAAAACCGAGAAGAGCTGACCTTCGCTTGCAATGAAAGAAAGGAGCGAAGGAGGCTGATAACGCGCATATACCGGTTCCGGACGCTCTCTTTTCTTTCTCTTTGCAATACGTTACCTCCGAGGTGTTTCGCGCTTCTCGAGTTCTCCGTTGCGTATCACCAGTAAGGTGTTACCCTAACGTGTAACATCCCGAAATGGTGTCGCGAGTAATACGGTTCCGCCGCCGCCGGTCGCGAAATCGTGCGATCGGGTTCTCGCGTGACCTTGACGATGTACTCGCCGTTACACGAGCCACGAATTCCGTGTCGCGTTTCGGTGTTGTGGCTCCGAGTCGTACGCGACAAGATATCCTCCTACGACGCCTACCGGAAAGATGACGTCCCGCGGATGACATCCTCCGACGGCGGTGTCAATAAATCCTTAGCGCGACGCGGTCGATCATTCAATTCTGTCGCGTCTGTGTGTAACGCGTTCACGGGCGATCCGATCGTGTATCCGAGTGCTGCCGGGTAAACGGCGTTACCCAGGTAATGCCCGAGAGATACTTCGCGCACTCCGTCCGGTTCCGAGTCGATACACCGGGTAAACTACGCGAGACACGATCCGGTTCGAGTTGACGCGGCGCGCGCTCGTGTCTCGCGTTCGCGACGCCTTTCCGTTCAGGCGATCTCTGAATTTGGTTCGGCTCATTCGAAGTCCACGCGACCAATATTTATGGATCGTGGAAGCGTGAAGCGTACTACAATTCCCGGACATGCGGAGAATGGCGATGGTAAGGTCTCGCGACGGCCGATGTCCAATACCACAAACATGGATTTACGCGAATTTATACATATAATATATGCATACATTATCAGAGAGAAATGATTTTTTTTCATCCGGGAATACTGCTAACTTTCCGGCTGCTTGACCGCTGCGACAATGATGCACGTTTGTGATCTATAGAATTTTTTATGTAGGCCAGTTGACTCGATGGATGAGCTGATATATACTGGCGTTCTAGAGATCTCATGGCGAATTAGATCAACGTTTTATCATCCTTAACGGTGGTTCTGTCATGTATTGAAAATTAACGTGTTCACTGCTCTCACAGGAGTTTGGATCACCAGCTTTTCACGCCTCCTGCGTAGTTTATTCTAACGTTTCAATCAGGTACGTCATCGAGATTTTCTTCAGAACTAAGTATCGATGCATTGTATATGGATCCCGTGTACAATGTGTTAAGAGAGATAACATTCTCCATCGAGTATCTGTCCTCTGTTGAAGGAATGTCACGGGACTATGACAGACGAAGAGGAGGCAGCGGTAGCGGTAGCAGTTCTAGTAAGTTACGGATGGATACGAGTGTATCGCAACCCAGACCGCACGGTGAAAATTCTGGAAAACGACGAGAATTAGATAGCATGATGCGGAAAGCGCGCGAATCTCAATCAAGTTACTGGAACAAGAAGCTTTTGGAAGTTGAAGAGCGAGACCCGAACAGGTGGAGACACAGTGGTTACAAAGAATTGTACGTTGGTGGTACGGCGAGCGGAGAGCCCAGTAGAGGACATCCGAGAAGTCCGAGAAGTCCCAGACCTCGAAGTCCACACTTGCAGAGACCGCGCAGTCCTCGAACCAGAAGTCCGCGATCTCCTCGCGAGAGATCGCACACCAGAGGAAGACCGACGCGAAGCCCGAGTACAGCGAGCACTTGTTCCGATCGATCGTGCAGCGTTTGCTCGCCCAAGGAACGACGGCGCATCGTCCAGCCGTCTCGTTCGCGATCGAGATCGCTTACGCCGGTCCGTCCTCGGGCACACCCGAAAGAAGTCGTGCCGTCTAGTTCACGAGTGATACCTCGCACCAGACCACGATCACCTCCTTTACCGCGTCCACGCACACCTCCGCCTGCACCGCAGCTTCCCCCGCGTCATCAAAAGGATTACAAAGCGATCAAAGAAAAAGAAACCAAGATACGGCGTAAAGAAAAGCATCACGCTAGAATTCCGGAAGATCCACGAGTCCCGGAACCCATTCCATTGGTAAAACATGCTTTGTTCAGTTTATTGTCGATTCGGATCTGTTAAGATAGCGTAGGATAGCTCTATCTAAACATTACGATTTTCATCCGTTATTAATACGCCCGTTCTTTATGTTTTAACCAATGAAAATTACACAGATGCGTAAACCGGTAAAAGTAGAGAAAACGCATTCGACCCATGGATCGGCTCCGATGATCAGGCCCCCTCCTGAGTCATCGCCCAGCGAAGACAGCGACAGTTCTTCTACAACGTCACACGTGGGTCCACCCAGAATGACTTTGTCCGAACGGTACGAGAACAAGACGATGTTCACCGACCCGATGCGATATTTACAATTCAAAACTCGTCTGTGATAAGTAAAATTGTTTTAGATTTGGTAAAATGGCACAATGGAGCGTCGATCGTAGGGACATGGAAAATATGCGTATCACGAAGGATGGAGAAAACGCAATGAAAGTTGTGATAGAGGGAGAAGAAAGAATCGCCAGATTAGGATATGATTCTCCACCCCCGGGACACTATCCCGAATCGCTTTTAGCCCAAGGGCCGAGGGGACTTGAGTGTTGGGACGATGTCCGCGTGAGGTACGATTATTATAAAGCAAGAGGATATCTCCGAGACCTCACCTTAGACGATTACATAAAATGGGAAGAATGGTGGTACAAGTATCAAGAATGGCTGGAAGCGGAACGTTTTTATGAACAATGGGCCACTTCCTCCTCGTCGAACCGTCCCTCCGGTGGAAGTCGAAAAAGGCGCGGCCGGCGTAACAACGCGGCTCATTAATCATTTCACAAGGATCATTGTCAAATTCATAGACGCCATCATAAAGAAACTGTACTGTAACTGTGCTTAGAAATGAGTGCAAACAATGTGTAAACGCTCTGTACAGGCGTACGTTATAAAGACAACCATGCGCCCATATACATATACACGAACGTATATACTATAATAAATGGTATGAATGTGCTGTAAAAACTTCGTCTTCATCGGTCTACCAAGTAAAACTTGATACCATAGGAACAATCATAATAGTTTCTTCGTTTAATTTGATATTTCATTTGTAGACTATTCTATACCTGTTATAAGACAAACGATTTTTCTTATAATTATTTCTTGGTGTAACTGTACCAAAAAATATATGTTATGACTATTTCATAAAAGATTGTATGTTAAAATAATGTCCCGTAGTAAATATGAGATAAGGTTTTGTCCCTGTGTGGCGAAAGGTCGAGTAAAGTTATCACGAATATATACCTCTCTCTCTCTCTCTCTCATCCATGCACATCATTTAGTCTATAGTGATTCAAGTAAGTGTTATGATCAGCAAATACGTTTTAAAGACCAGACAAGCAATAATGTCGATGGGAAAGATGAAGAGAAAAATAATATCATCTCCTTTAAGCCCAAAACCTGTTGGACCTTATAAGTAAGCAGTAATTTATACCTTATCGTTCAACTTGATCACTTGATTAATCATGTATAATTAATCTAACTTCAGTCAAGCAATACTTGTGGATCGCACTGTGTATTTGTCTGGTGTTCTTGGGATTGATGTTAAAACAGGAAAACTTGTCGAAGGAGGCGCTGTTCCAGAAGCTCAACAGGTTCTTAAAAATATGGGGCATATTTTAAAAGAGGCTGGATCCGATTATAACAAAGGTTTAGAAATTTTATTAAAGATTTTTACCTAGTGATTGATATATCAAGACCTTGTAGAATAGAATTATACTCCAAATATGACGTATACTAAATCTGTTCATTTCTTTGCAGTCATTAAGACAACAATTTTATTGCAAAATATCAATGACTTTGCTGGTATAAACGAAGTCTACAAAGAATGTAAGATTCAATTTTATTATACCTAAGAATAATAATGCTTGTACTTTAGACTTAATTTCTTTTACCTAGATTTTAAGGAGAACTACCCGGCTCGATCGACGTATCAAGTGGGAAAACTTCCAATGGTACGAAAACATTTCAAAAATTAATTAATCAAGAGTAATGATAACTCACTTTTTATTTACTAACGATGTTTTTACAGGGAGCACAGGTTGAAATTGAAGCCATTGCAATTACAGGCGAAGTTGAAACAATTTAAACAAACCGTTCTTAATATGATTTTATATGATGAAATATACTTGAATTCGCATTGAAATTGGTTTTATTTTCACTTCTAACTACTAAAAACAATCTTCCATCGTCACATAATATTTCGGTGCATCAATGGATTGCGTAGTCCCTTACGAACATATAGTATAGTATGTGCAAGCCACGCATTCGGCATTCCGTTTTACATATAGTTCCGGTTTCTTTCCCTCCATCCTTCTTTCAACACGAGTCAGCACGTTCGGCACGCGAACGCGTTGCTCTTACGGTTTTTCCATAATCGTATTTAATCCACCTTCAATCGTTGCTTTCTCGGTCTAATAGTAACCAAGATGCCTCCCAAATTCGATCCGAATGAAATTAAGAAAGGTATCTATTCAATTTTTGTATTTCTAAATGAAACGTGCAAACTTTAAACTCAACTTATTTTAATAGTTTATCTGCGGTGCGTTGGAGGTGAAGTAGGAGCTACTTCGTCTCTGGCTCCAAAAATTGGTCCACTCGGTTTGGTAAGTCTAATTTAACATTGAACCTATCATGCACCGGTCAAATGATCATTTCCAAAGGTGCGAAGTCCATTAACCAATGAATTGTGAAAAGAGAAAAAATTCGATTGTGCTTACAGTCTCCGAAGAAAGTCGGTGATGATATCGCCAAGGCTACCAGTGACTGGAAAGGTTTAAAGATAACTGTGCAACTGACAATTCAAAATAGGCAAGCTACGATTTCAGTAGTCCCATCAGCTGCCTCCTTGATCATCAAGGCATTGAAAGAACCTCCAAGGGATCGTAAAAGGCAAAAGAATATCAAGCACAGTGGCAATCTGTCATTTGATGATATTGTTGCCATTGCTCGATCCATGAGGCCGAGGTCTATGTCGAAATACCTTAGTGGTACTGTTAAAGAAATATTAGGAACTTGTCAATCAGTTGGATGTACAGTCGAAGGTAGGCCACCACGAGATCTCATTGAAGACATCAACGGTGGAAAACTTCAAGTTCCTGATGAGTGATACGGTGAGTTTAGAGCTCCATGCCAATATTTTTTCACAATGTATTGTATCGCCTTTAAAATGATTTGAGAAAAGTTTGATATTGTGGCAAGAAGTATTGGCTTCGAGCTCTTGGTAGGGGTTAGCATCCCATCCACCTGATTAGCTGTAGTACATCATAGTATGTCTACATCCATCAGGCACAATGCTACTGAGGAGAAAACCTCAATAAAAAATCATCTCTTAGTATATAATACTTAAAATGATAGTTTAATTTCAAGTATGTTGTATTTTCACTGTTTCAGATTTATCGTAAGGATAAGACAATAAAATGTTTTTGAAGTAAACTGTAATAATTATACCCATATTCTCTCCTTCCCATTAAATATTACACGTACTGAATTCACAATGAATAGAACATGACACATCCAGTTACTTAATTTATATTACAATTAAAAGAAAAGGAAGATACATTTTTTGTAATTTACAAAATTCAGATATAAAATACATAAAAAATATATAGTATATAAACGAACTATTATTGTTCTATCAATTTTCGATTAATCATAATTTAGATATTACGTATAATATGTATTAAATGATCTCACCATTGAATTTACAAAGATGTGACGAGGAAAGAAAAATGTCATTTTTTCCTGCAGGTTTCAGTAAGTCTAATTGGATTGAAATAACAGTAGGAAAGTATTTTCGATCGAAAAATTATGAAATAAATAGTTTATTGTCCTAAAACGTATCCTCGTCCCCAATTATGGCCACCAAACGTATTTCTCGTGGTTTGCGTTTGTGCTCTTTGAGTGGGTGCAGCTCCGAACCACCTGATACCACCTCTTTGAGGGGGAAAATAAGATTCAAGGATTTTTGGCGTATTCAAGAGCTCTGGTCCTCCGAGTTCTTGAGGATATTTAAATTTCAGGAATAAGTAAAGATGTCCTACGAGGATACCGAGCAGTTCCATCATACCACCGCCGGAGATGATAAGATTAAATGCGAACAATACCCATGGCAAATACATAGCTTTGAATTGTGTACCTGTTTCAAGAAACAATTGTAAAATGAATAAAACAGTAAGGAAGAGAGTGTGTAAATATAGCTTTGTACATAAGAAGAATGCATACCAAACCAGAAGTTAACAATAGCGTATTTATTCAACTGACACCAAACGTACAGTATACTGATCACCATAGGATCCATGAGATAATGGAAATCACCGAGGAGTCCTATGACAACACAGCATATCCAGTTAAACAAGAGCAAGAAGCAATAATCAGCTGGCCGCCCATCGTACTCTCCACGCTCCAACCTCAACGAGTAATTGTATAAGAAGTAACAATTAATTAAAAAGTGGAATCCTGTCGCCGGGCTAAGAGGGTAATAGAAAACGCTGGTCGCCGCTCTCCATATCTCGAAATTGCTTATGAATTGTTCTTTTGTCAATATCAGCGAGAGCGGGCTCACTAATCCGAATCTTCCGATTAACGTGAAAAATGCTGTACACGTAAGCCAATATCTCGTGAAAGTTGGCAAAGAATTATACCAATATCTCACGTCTGACATTTTCTCATGCGTTTTATATTAACGCAACGATTAATATACACAACGGCCGCGCACTATCCGAACAAATCGCAACTCACAGCTCGGCTCGGGAATGACGTGGGTTTATTTAACGATTGCACGACGACACTACGTGGATCGTGGATCTAGGCATTTACTGAGGTTAGTACGAACGACAACAAATATGGTGTCACAGTGTGTACAACTTATGTTGTATTATGACTAAAAAACAACAGGGCAAATTCAGGATAAGTGGTTTATAAAAAATTATGTTTTATTGTTGTAACATTCTTTCGGAAACGTTGATTAATAACAAAAATGACAATTACACCGGAATACATACATACATACATATAGAATTATGTGGTTTATAGTTACAACGTGTGAAATCTTTTAAATACCTATATGACAAATTTTTATACAAGATCATGTTATTCCTTCTTTTCTCAAGGAAACATTTCATACATAACATTGTACCCAAATTACAGTTTGTTTTGAATATGCAATCATGACAGTGGGAGATCTCTTGCATTAGGTACACCTCTGATGCAAAATGTAAAAATTTGTTGCTAAAGGATCATTAGAAATACCTCACTATTTACACATTCGCATTCACACATCGATTAACTTAGTCATCAGCTGTTTTCTTAGTCTTTCTCTGCCTAGGACTCTGCCTGGGAGTTCTTGGAGATTTATCTGTAAAGGTTGATTCACGTGAAATATACTTGTTTTATTTTAATGTTTAGATTTAAACGTTCATCGCTAGTTGCGTGTAATACTTACTAATTCTGTTCAATGTTTCCTTCGGCAACCAATCGTAATCGACGTTGTTAGGATTCGATGTACCCATCTCCACAGGTGCTTTACGAATGCTGGAAGATCGTGATTTTCGACCAAGGGACGAGAGAAGTTGTTGCCCTCCAACGAGCGTTAATATCACGCATGCCACCAAAAATACATATAGGAAAATTGTCTCTCCGTCAAGGCCATCATCCAATTCTATTATTTGTACTGTCTCGTTATAAACAGCTTGACCGAAACTAACACCATTCTGCAACATGAATGTCATCAGGATTATTCTTAATTCCTTAAACAATTGATTATTATTACGTACAGTATCTCTGTAATTCAGATTGATGTTCAATCCGAATGGCCTCCCAGCAAGATTTTCAGATGGGATGAAAGAATATGCTAATGTTGCTTCCTGTTTTGGTTTAACGATTTTGTTGTACGTAATTGTCGAAAAATTTTGAATATAAAAATTGAAATCCATTGCATAGCGAAAAGACGCATCCAAGGATTCAAGCACGAAATCGGATTCCCCTTTATTGGTAAAACCAACAAGAAATTCGACTAAATTTCCAGCTGATAATTCTAAAAGAAATATATCGATTAAACGATTGATCCTGTGAATGAAGAAGTATTATAATACACTTTAAAAAAAGTGATATCTATCTACCCAGTGCCGTTAATCCATTGTAAGCAGGTTTAGTAAATAGTATGACTGTGTCAGCATCGGATGAGGCAGTGGTTGTTTCATCTTCTGGTTCTTCATCTGTTATCACAGAATTATCTTCTCCTTCTATATCTACTATATCGTCTATACTCTCGTCTTCTTCGGCATGAACTGTCATAAAAATGTTAAAAAATATGTATATGCGCAAGGCTTCATTTACTTTCTACTACAATTATTAAGTAGCAATTTATATAATTCAGTTGATAGAATACTTAATGACCATTCCAGACATATAAAAGCATCGTTTCTTTATGTCAATACGTCACATATGTTAAATGTAAATATAATTCAAGAAGTACAAGATAATTCTCGATGAAAATTTTTCGTACGTTACCTTTGTTCACGCTTAAAGTAATCGTTGAAACGAAAAGTAACAAGACAATAGTAAATTTCTTCATCTCGACGGGCCGTTTTAAAGCTAACTTTCTGTTACAAATATCGATTAAAACCCACTTTCCATACGCGCACTTCGAAACCGACACTGATCTACACCGTTCCGGAGTAGCATAACCGGCTAGCATGTATTCTTACTTGCGACGACGTGGAAGTGTGGAAGGACAGGAACGCATCGTCAAATCTACAACGTGGAACGTGGAAATATACACATATCTACTATCAACATGAACGTAACGTTGGCGTTGAATCAACAGAAACGAGTGAACGGCAGTCTTGTATGAGGTTTGAGGAATTTCGATCATAACGCTTTCTGTCGAAGGATAGTGAAACCAGGTGAAACGCACGTTTCAGTTGTAATTGCGGCGTACTTCGCACTGTTCGGTCGAGTTCAAGTTCTGTGTTCTGTGTGTTCTGTCTGTCAAGTCTGTGCGTCATGCGTCATGTCATACCCTGACAACCAACAGCCAACGTGTTGAATCTAATAATTATACTATTTAATCTTTAATAAAAACACGAACCTTTATTTAAAATCGTCTTCAGCGACTTCAATGTTTCTCATATAATTTTCTTCCCATACGTCAATGTGCGTATATACAGGAAATGAATGATAACGTTAGAATAAGACTTTACACGAACGTCAACTTAACTCGTATCAATATTACAGATCGCAATCATGGATTACGAGGATGATTTCTTCTTCGAGGAGGATAAGATGTTGGTTTCACAAAAATCTGCTTGATTAGTTACTTAATTGATACATGTTACACCTCGCTCTAAATGTGCTTCTCTTTTCTTGCAACATGCATGCCTGTATGCCGCGGTGCGGTGGAATAGTTTAGAGGATCGAACAGTATTATCTGCAGATAACACTGAAGAGTGTAAAGAAAACGTTCTTTTATTAACCACCGTGCCAACGGCTAATGTGCAATTGCATCAATCCACAATGGAAGATCGCATGTACGCATCTTTTACATTCTCTTATTTACACTTCTGTATATGTATATTGTTACTAAAATCTATTACCAGAAACAAGTGTGCGAACTATATGTTTTATATTTATTTAATCGTTTGGATGTAGACCCGATGTAGAACTGATCCACCAAGATCAGTCTCTTCATCATCTACCCAACTGTACAACGTAAGTTTCATTAATATTGTGATGTGTTTTAATGTCGAGTAGCATTTGATAGACTTTGTAACAGTATTCTTGCCTTCATAAAAAATTTAATTATTACCACTGGATAAAGGTAAGAAATTTGAGAAATTATGTTCTCTATTTCTTTTTATTATTTCTTATCCACTAAGTTTTGTCAGAGAGTTATATGAATGCTGATGCATCTTTTATTGATTAATTTACACAGGGGTATGACCATAACATCTGGCAATGTTATAATACAAAAAGACAGCGGCAATCTTATAGGCATTAGCATTGGAGGTGGTGCCCCATTATGTCCCTGCCTATACATCGTACAGATCTTTGATAACACACCAGCGGCAGTAGACGGAACCTTGCAATCAGGAGACGAGCTTGTAGCAATAAATGGAACGTCGGTTAGAGGAAAGACGAAAATGGAAGTCGCAAAAATGATTCAGTGTTGCGATTCTCAAGTCAGTATTAATTATAATAAGTTGCACGCCGACCCGAAGCAAGGCCGCACTCTCGACATAGCTTTAAAAAAGGTGTGTATTATCCGAGACGATGCGTTTTAATAAGAAATTAATGTAGACGTTAAATTTCAGGTGAAACATAGATTAGTCGAAGGGATGGGGAGTGCGACAGCAGATGCACTTGGATTATCGCGTGCTATTCTTTGCAATGACGCGCTTGTACAGAGATTAACGGCGCTGCAACGTACAGAAAATTTGTACAGAGGCTTAGTTTCTCATGCCAAAGCTACTTTACACGCGTTTTTCGATTTGATACAAATATACAAAAGTACGTCAATTTTTAATTACACTTCGAGTATAAGAAGTTTAGTTATTTGATTTAAATGTATTTTAGTATTCGGGGATGCTTTCGCTGCGATAGGAGTGAGGGAACCGCAGCCTCGAGCCAGCGAAGCTTTCAGACAATTTGGCGAGCAGCACAGGCAGATGGAAAAATATGGCATAGCCACCTTAAAGTGTCTGAAGCCGATTTTAAACGATCTGGGCACGTATCTTCACAAAGCCATTCCGGACACTCGATTGACCATTAGCAAATACGCTGACGCAAAATTCGAGTACCTTTCCTATTGCCTGAAAGTGAAAGAATTGGACGATGAGGAACAGAGCTACGCTGCGTTGCAGGAACCTCTTTATCGAGTCGAGACTGGGAATTACGAATATCGACTGGTACTGAGATGTCGGCAGGAAGCGCGGGCGAGGTTCGCCAAGCTCAGATCCGACGTGCTCGTGAAACTCGAATTATTGGACAATAAACACGTTCAAGACGTCGTCTGGCAATTGCAAAAGTTTGCTACCGGTCTATCGAAGTATTATTCGAACACGCGAGATTTATTATCCGCGGTAACATTGTTCCCTGTCGAAGTCGACTTATCGCATTCCGCTTTCCAATACAAATCTACCGGTCCCCAATCATCCGTTGATGCAGAAGACACGGAGGAGTTTGAACCCGAGGAAAAAGAGAGCACGAGCGAAGATTTGCTTATAGACACGCAAAACTTTCCTCTCACTACATCTGATTCCAATGACTTGTAGCAATGTGCTTATACTTCGAATGGATTGTACTTTTTAAGCATAATCAATGCTTTTATCGTGTGTGACATATTTCTATTGTATTTCATTCTGTCTTTCATTAATTCATCATTACCAAAGATCAGTGCTTTACAAGATTCTGTACATTTAATAGATGTATATAAAATACAGTGTATTTATTATATTACCAGATCCTCTAGGTGTGAAGAGGTTCAATTTTAAATATTTAAATATTGTATTGTAACATAAAGATGTATTTGTTACATTCCTAATTAATAAATATACAGTCTGTACATTACATGAATATATACATGGCTTTATAGAGGTACGTGTAACATGCACGTATGTATGCGTGTAGTAGTGTAACCAATGACCAACACACTAACACAGTCTACAGTCAGTCAGTCAGTGTCAGTACCGTCGTACCGTCAGTACGAATGGTGTAATCGAACATGGGGTTGTTGACGGATCCTAGGGCAGGATCTGGAAAGATAATCAAATTCCTACTAAAATGGGAACGACCGCTCTGCGGACTTTTGTACATCAGCGGCATTGTTTGGATATTACTCCTCGCTTTACCTACGTTTAACGACAGTACGTATTAATGTCATTTATCTTGTATAAACAAAAACAATTAGGTTATGCTGTCATGCCGATAATTGTTTAAAACATCATTTTTACATAATTACTGGTTGATACGTGATTCATCTGGATAGTATCGGTAAAATATAGGACTGAAGTAATTTTGATTGCAATGATTTTTTGTTACAGACACTTATTTCTCTGAGAATGCTTTATTACCAGGTTTGGTGACGAAAGAGAGTAATCTCGAACAAACGGCGAAACAGTATTATGCATATTTAGTTAATGAAATGAAACGGCACCCTGATGGAATGCCGTATGCATGGCTAGCTGCCAAACTGAATCAGCTTCACTTGGACGTTTTCACACATAATTTCACATTGGTATATCCCTTCCAAGAGCTGCAGGTAAAAGAGGAAATGTATTTTTATTATGTTATAAATTCACAGCATATGAAAACTAGTGTATGTACAGTTTACAGGGCAAAATATCTATGGAATTATTAGAGCCCCGAGAGCAGCTAGCACTGAAGCGATCGTAGTTAGCGTACCTTTCAGGCCAATTCATAGCATTTATTTGGATACTGCACCTTCTGTTGCTCTTCTTCTAGCATTTGCTAAATTCTGTAGAAGTGAGTGTAATTGAGTGATTCCACTAACTACCATGAAGAGTATATTAATAATCTGTTCTTCTGTCGTAGAGCAAAAATATTGGGCAAAGGATATCATATTTCTAATAACAGAGCATGAACAATTAGGAATACAGGCATGGTTGGACGCTTATCATGGAGTCACAAGCGGTAACGAGGGTGTACTTGTATCAGGAGATCTTCCTGGTCGCGCTGGTTCCATTCAAGCTGCTATAAATTTGGAAATACATTCGACGAGAGTTTCGTACATCGATGTTAAGGTCTGCGCCTTCTTATAAATATTTAATTAATCAAGAGTTAATCATTGTCATGGATAAGTATTTGTGTTTTTAGATAGAAGGATTGAACGGGCGGCTACCCAATTTGGATCTCTTTAATTTAGCGCAGAACATGATAGCCAAGGAAGGAATTCGACAATCGTTTCAAAGACGGTTCGATATTAAATATAAAAATAAATTTAAGAATTGGTCATACCACTTTAATACGCTTCTCATGATGATCATGACTCAAGCTACCGGAGTTCCAACTGGGAACCACGGACTTTTCCACAGGTACTTATAAATCAAATATATATTACCACATGAACATTGCTCTTAATATTGTTTCTTTACAGATTTGGTATAGAAGCAATTACTCTGGAAGGTTTTGAAAAGGCTGGACATCAGAGTGGTGATGAGAATCTTTATCAAGTCGGGTGCATCATAGAGAGCATAGTGCGATCGCTAAATAATTTATTAGAACGTTTTCATCAATCTTATTTCTTTTATTTGCTTCCATCGACTGATACTTACATTTCCATTGGTAGGCAGACCTACATATAAATATATGAAACATCAATAAAGATGACTATTTAATTAATTGAAACGAAATTTCAGGACTTTACATAAGATCTCTGGTATTGATTATCGCTGCGATGTTCGTGAAAGCATTTTCCATGTGGCAAAAGCTACAACCAAACAAAACTACTGATGACAAGAAGGATAATGAATCGAATTCCATGGACGACAAGAAAAACGGTGAATCGAATTCTGATAAAAAAAGCGTTAAATTGAATTCTACGAAAGACGAGAAGAGTACGGGACTGAGTTCCACGGGAAATAAGAAAATTAGATTTAATTCTGCAGAGGATGAAAAGACCGTGGATGTCAAGCAAAAGGTTCGTCCGATATATACATGAATAATGAATGAAACTCCGAATTAAATGCGACTTTATAATTATTTATAGGATGATGGATTCGATATTGGAGTCATTGCTTCAGAGATCTTGTGGGCACACATTTGTGGAGCTGTAATTACAACGTCACCGTCCGCGCTTACCTATCTTGGTAAGAAAATGGATTTGCGTACGGAGGATTCAATGTTCTTTGGTTTCCTGGCAATATCAGTTTTAACGTTGATATATCCATTTTATTCCCGAAGGTAGCGTATTCCTGTCGTAATAATACAACTCGTATTGTTAAATGTCTCATTTAAATAAGTCTCTTTCAATTGTAGCCAAATGAGGTATAAGAACGCGATTTTAGTCTGTGTAATCGGATTAATAGAATTTGGTACAGTACTAATGTGTATAGCGATGCATAACTTTTCTTTGGCACTTCTCACTGCTGTGCTCTACGTACCCGTTATTCTACCGATAGCACCGAAACAGAATTCTACCATGTAAGTACATAGTCTTATGCATAACACAAATTCCACGTTTATCAAAATGAAAAAGAAGACGAAAGAACGTCGATATGAGATTTATGAAAATCCTTGATAAAAACTGTTTCAGATTTCATAAAACGCTATCGTTAACGTGGATACTACTACACCCGTTTGTGATCGCGAATTTAGTCGTAATGAGTTACACATATATGAACTTTTCTTCAGACTCGATTTTATCAATTTTATATCGCGGTCATCGCGCTACGAAGCAAGCGTTCGTCTACAGTATCATGGATTCAATGATTTACGGAAATTGGTTGTACAATGTAACCGTTTCTACGATGCTTCCTATATGGCTCCTATTTTGGAAAATTTTATGTTCCAATAGCGTTGTACATTCCGAACAGTTGTGTAAATAAATTTTTTTTATACTTAAGTCCACGTATTTACGTCACGTAAAACTGTATGTCGAAAGTATCGTTTCTTTTATTCTATGATTAAACATTTTGATTTCTCTTGAACGAGTAAATTTTTCTGTGTTTTAAATACCACACAGAGTAGAACATTTTATTGCTCTCCGTGTTTTCCGCGCTTTGCCGCCATTTTAATAGTCTCCACGGTAACCATGAAGACAAACTTCTAAACATACGTGAAAATTAAAAGAACGCTGTAAACAATTCTTGGCAAATACAGTGAGAAACAAGTAAGTCTTCACAGAAGAAGTAACAATGAAAGCTACTCCGATTTGGGTCGATAAGGTTCAAGACAAATCCGAACGATGGTAAGAATTTAATGTTTTATAAGAAATTATTTTCAACGACAAGTAATGAATAGTCGCATTGTTACGTTCAACAATAGAGCAGGATTCATTTATTTTACTATGTCTATTTCTTAAGCGAGATTCTTCGAAATACTTTGTTTTAGTATATACGACCTGTGTTTCAATCCAGATGGGACTCAATTAGTTATCGCTGCTGGACAGCAAGTTCTCGTTTACGAAACCAACGAAGGCTCCCTAGTTCAACCACTAAAAGGTTTCAATTGAATGTATGTTCAATAAAGAGAAATTGTTAATTACGTTCGTTTCTTTATAGGACATAAAGATGTGGTTTACTGTGTATGCTATGCGAGAGATGGTAAGAAATTTGCATCTGGTAGTGCTGATAAAAGTGTCATCATTTGGACATCGAGATTGGAGGGTATACTCAAATATTCGTAAGTTACATTGGTTCTCATATAACTGCGTCAAATTCATTTATTTATAATATTCATTTTTGTCACGTAATTTTCATTTCTTACATATATACATACTTTCAGACATAATGAAGCTGTTCAAGCTATGCAGTTTAATCCTGTGTCCCATCAACTTTTAAGCTGTTCCTTGTCGGACATAGCATTCTGGTCTCCAGAACAGAAAGCAGTTGTAAAGCATAAATCGAGAGGAAGAGTAAATTGTTGCGCTTGGACAAGCGATGGCCAATATTTGGCTATTGGTTTAGCAACTGGTTATGTCTCTGTTAGAAATAAAGTAAGTTTTATTCAACAATTTACTATTTTCAATTGTTAATATTTAACGGCGAAGAAGTTTTAATGGATGATTTAGAATGGAGAAGAACAGATACGAATAGAAAGACAAAGTGGAGTACCTGTTTGGAGTTTGCTATGGAATCGTCAATGGTATCAGAAAATATCATTATCCTTGATATCAGGTCGATCTATGACAAAGATTATGACAATGGACTATTGAATTCACAGGGAAGATTCATCAGACGTTCTCTGCATCGGAGAATGGAATGGAACTATAAGCTTTTATTCAATTTCGGGAAAGCTAATTGGGAAGGACAGGTCGTTCAATTTTATTCCTCTTAAAATGTGCAATTTCTCGGAGGGTCAATACATGCTGGTTTGCGGAAGTAATAAACAATGTATATTAATGACACATGATGGGATACAGTTGATGAACGTCGGTGGTACATTTTCATCTTGGGTTTGGAGTGCTGCTGTACATCCGACTTCTACCCACGTTGTAAGACTCGCATTCTTTTCGATATACTATTTTTGTTTATCGATGTGGATATTAATACATTTTTTCAGGTACTCGGCTGCCAAGATGGTACAATTACCTATTTACAATTGTCTTGGGACGTTGTGCACGGATTATATAGAGATAGGTACGCGTACAGAGAAAATATGACTGATGTCATAATACAAAATTTGATTACTAGTCAAAAAGTTCGTATTAAGTGCAAGGATCTGGTGAGTCAACTTTTCACTATTGTAAAGAGCATTGCAATTTTATAAAACTATCAATTCTATGTGGTTCTCATCGAATTTCCAGATACATCGTATCGCTGTATATAAAAATAGATTAGCTGTACAATTATCGGAACGCGTGATCATTTACGAACCGTCGAGCTCGAACGATGGAATGCACTATCGTATATATGAAAAATTGAATCAACCGTTGAATTGTGATTTCCTCGTCGTCACTGCGAATAATTTGATTCTGTGCATGGAGAGAAGATTGCAGAGTTTATTCTTTAACGGGACAATCGAAAGAGAGTGGATACTCGATGGGCTGATAACTTATATAAAAGTTGTCAGCGGCCCGGTTGGACAGGAGTGCCTGATCATAGGTTTGCATCGCGAAGTATATAATTTAGCATGGTTTTAATACATTATATTATATATCATTCCTCTCTTTTAGGTTTGAACAGTGGCTATATAGTAAAAATATACTTAGACAATCCTTTCCCAGCATACTTAATAAAAATCGAAGACTCCAACAGGTGCCTTGATATCAGTTCGTTCAATGAAAAGCTCGCAGTCGTCAGCGATCACGGAGTTCTATATGTATACGATTTGTACACTGAAGAAAAGATCCAAGAGTTTCAGAATGTAAACAGCGTGGCGTTCAACACCAGTTTCGAAGATATAATGTGTTTCTCCAGTGGGGAGTATTTAGCGATCAAAGTAGGCGATTTTACGGAATACAAGCAAAAATTTTCTGGAGTCGTTATCGGCCACAATGGATCGAAGATTTATTGCCTAAATGGTTCTTCTATTGTCATAATGGAGGTACTTCATATTTCTAATTGTAATTATAAAATCTGTATATTATTGAGCTTATAAAAGTACTTTTCATATGTTTGTAGGTGCCATTATCACTATTTATGTACCAATATATAGACATCGGTCTCTTTTCTCATGCTTACAACATAGCGTGTCTCGGAGTAGCCGATTCCGACTGGTTTGCCTTGGGCACCGTTGCACTCGAAAACTTGGAGTTGGACATAGCGTATTCCTCGTTTGCTAAAGTGAAAAATTTAAAATACATAGAAGTAGTGTCCGAGGTGGAGGAGAAGTTGAAATCCGGAGAATGGGGAAGAGAAGCGTGCATGGCTACTGCTGCAGCCGCGATGGGAAAGCTGAAGGAAGCCGCGAAGCTCTTCCAGAAAGCTGGACTCCAGCAATACGCGTTGGCCATGTACTCCGATTTACGCATGTTTGACATCGCGCAAGAGTTTATCGTCAGTGGCAACAATCAGGTCTGTACATCCTCATTCGTCATTACATTAAATATTATAGAGGACAAGAATATATAATCGACACTGGTGATCGTGATTCTGTTTAGGATCGTACAATTTTGCTTCGTAAAAGAGCAGAATGGGCAAAGAGCCTCGGGGAGCCTCGCGCAGCGGCCGAGATGTTCCTCTCAGCGGGGGACACTGACCGTGCCATCAACATAATCGCGGAGTACGGTTGGATCGACATGTTGATCAAAGTTGGTAGACAACTCGATAAAGCGGATCGGGATAATTTGACGGTGATCGCGAAGAAATTGAAGAAGCTGGGCGCGACTCATGGAGCGGCGGAAATTTTCAGCCGCTTAGGCGATGACCCAGACGTAGCCGATGTCTTAGTGGAGGCTCAGGCATGGCCGGAGGCGTTTGAATTGGCTGAAAGGAATCCTAAATTGAAAGGCAGAATATACGGGCCGTATGCGAGGTGGTTGGCAGAGACTGGCCATTTCTCTGAGGCACATAAAGCGTTTCAGATGGCCGGACAATCGGATGAGTCTATAATAGTTTTGACGATGTTAGCCAGGAACGCGGTTACGGAAAAAAGATTTCGGGACGCATCTTACTTTCATTGGCTCCTTTCTCAGATCAGTTTGAATCTTAACAGAACCGCCGAGGAATTACAAACGATGTACTTCCAGTATTACGAGAAAGCGGAAATTTACTATGCTTATCACGAAGTCCATAAATACGTAGTAAGTAATTTGCTTAGAAAGATAATGAATTTATGATAATAGATACGAAGTCCATAAATACGTAGTAAGTAATTTGCTTAGAAAGATAATGAATTTATGATAAACAGATAATGAGATTATGATTAACTTCTTCTAATACGATTATTTACAGGAAGAACCATTTACGTCGTTGATGCCCGAAGCTCTTTTTAACATTTCGCGTTTTCTGTTAACTAAAACCGAGAATATCCAAGTGGAAGGAGTATCGAAGTTCATTATAATTTATACGTTATTGAAACAAGCTTCTCTTCTTGGTGCTAACAAACTCGCTATGCAGTTACTTGAAAAACTGCGTAAAATGAAAATTCCACCGAATCAATTGAGCCAATTGGAAACGTTGAATTTAAACAGTCGAGCTTCCTCTTATAGAGATCCTGAAGAGCTGTTACCACTTTGTTACAAGTGTTCAACCTTTAATCCTCTGTTACCATCGAACAACCAAGGACAGTGCGTGCAGTGTGGATTAAAATTTCAATACTCTTTCGTTATGTTTGGTACATATACTTTTCATATCTACACATCTTTTTTCGTTTAAGATTACTGTAAAGAACTTACGATTTTTAGATTTTTTACATTTTATATTTGTTCCGTTGAAATTGCAGAAATCCTACCGTTAGTCGAGTTTGAACTAGAAGAAAATATCTCGGACGAAGAGGCAGAGAAATTAATAAACGAATCGTTATCTTCCCCGGACGATGTTAATGATACAGATCAACTTTCTATCACTTCCGAAGTAGATCCTTTCACTGCTCGCTTAATGAAATACGAGGTATTCATTGTATTAGATATTAATTAAATAACACTTAGACTGCAGATTTTTATGCTAAAAACTCATTATTGCAGGAGAAATCTACTTCTACCATAGTTGTTGGCAAAAATGTGTTGAAAAGCATGGATCCGTGTACTGTGTTAATCATGAAATGGCCCGAACCGTTTAAAACGAAGTATTTCAAGAATCTTTTACCCGACTTGCAAGTCACGTTCTGTAAATCCTGTTTGAAGGTACGTACGAAGTGGTAGTAACTGTAAATTAACATGAAAATAACATTACTTTTTTAATCCTCAGTTGTTTCACTTGGATGATTATGAACTGGCTTTATTACGACATGGACGTTGCCCATTTTGTAGGGCGATAAATAAAATCTCTGATTAGCATCTTTTAATTAGTTTTACATTAGTCTTAGCGCGACAGATTATTACCAATAGAAATTAAATTTAAATCACGTTATGATGACTGGATTTACGCGTCCTATGCATTACACAATAAACTATGTAACAAATGTTCTATTCTCTGCTTAATCAATAACTCGAAGCCGGAAGAGCGCAGAAATTGAAATAATGTTTCTAGCAACTCTCGATGACTGAAGTTTTATTAAGAATAAAAAATGTCTGTCTACGCAACGAAATCGTATTAACAATTTATGAGGAAGTAAATATTTTGTCGAGTCTACTTTACGATAGGCATCCCGAAAAATCCAGTTATGTAAACGTTAGTAAATAGTAGTATCTCTGCGCTAATTGTTCTGTTTCTCCGAGTACCGTTAAACCGAAATCTCCAGCAGAATTTGAACCGGACACCGAACAGTTGCAACTCGGAAGATGTTGCGGCTGTATGCGGTGTGCTCAGTAATTTTCCTTCTTGGCAATATCGTTAATTGCCAATCGGACGATGAAAATATCATAGAAGTTGAAACCTCGACGCCTCGCGGGAGATGTAAGTTATAACAAATTGAAGCTGTGAAAATTTGATATTAATTTTTTATCAAATGTTTAAACAGTCTTCCCGCTGTTCAGCGTTATCCGTTTTGCGAATTCACAATGTCTGGCTAGCAACAATTTAAACGGCACTTGTTTCACTAGAAGAGAATGTCGCCAGTATGGTGGGACACCGTCTGGGACTTGTGCCAACGGACATGGACTCTGCTGCGTTTGTAAGTAAAATATCATTTACTATTTTTCACTTTAAATAAGAAGACTAAAACTTGTTTCGATGGTTGCAGTTCAAAAAACATGCGGTGCTACGACAAATGTAAATAACACATACTTCACAAATCCGGAATATCCTAGAACTTACGAAGGACAGGGAAGATGTACGATATCTGTTCAACGTTGTAACACGAACATTTGTCAAGTACGTTTATACATTTACGATTGTAATTTGACAACTTCTATTCACATAATTCTAACTCAACTTTGTGAGCAATACGAATCTACTTGAAAATAGCATGGAATCAAATTCTATCTCGAGGCTCGAATATCTGGAATTTAATTAAATGAAATTCTTATCAAGCGTCGGACTGTTTCAGCTGCGTTTGGATTTCTTGGATTTCACTCTCGCCTCGCCGAATATCAGCGGAATTTGCGACTATGATCATCTCCTAGTTTCTGGATCCGGAAGCGTAGTACCTCGAATCTGTGGAGAAAATGCTAATCAACACGGTATTGAAATATAAGGCAATGAATTCGTATTTTCATCCGATTGAAACTAAATTGATTGGACCATTTCAGTGTACATGGATTTTAACGACGATGCGCCGATCATGTTGTCAATTGATACGAACGGTGACTATGCTACAGATCGTCGTTGGAATATAAGAATCCAGCAAATACCGTGTGATTCTCCAGCCAGAGGTATTACAATCGCACTACTGTTATCTATATTCTTATTTATAGACGTACAAATAATTAATCATTTTGATGATGGAATATCATAGCTCCAAATGGATGTCTACAATATTACGATACCGTCTCGAACACTGTGACTAGCTTTAATTATGGTACAACACAAAATCCAAGAGGTATACCGCTTGACTGCAATCAATAATTGTCAATTCCTAATGCCGAAATTATTCATATTCATATGTTTAATATATTTTAGCACCAGGAACTGGTACACGGCAAATGGCGAATACGAATTATGGTGTCTGCGTAAGAATGGAACAAGGATATTGCGGGATCGAATGGTCTCAGACGGCCATGAATTCCTTTACCGTGTCCGGAGATACTGGCTCGCTTGATCCTTCCATAATAGGTAAGATATGTCTGCTTGTATCAAGTCTATCATTTCTATATCATATAGAATGTGACTAATTAATAAGATGTTTTTATGTGATATTCTTTACGCGAAATATAGGTACTCCCACTGTAGCAGAAATGGGAACAGATTGTACGAAAGATTATGTTATCGTTCCACATCCCTTCGTAGATAATACGGCGCTTGACACGGATCGTTTTTGCGGTAACGCTTTCGTGACAAAAACATGTAAGTGTTTAGTTTGTAACTTCGTTTCCCCTTGTTCCTGAATAGTATGCGTATATTTAAATGTAATAAAATATATTTGATAATTTCTGTTTCAATTCTAGCATACTCTAAACCGTTTGTGCTGTACGTTGTTACGGATGGAGACGAGATTACGGAAGTTGATAATAAAGGGTTCTCCTTAATGTATCGTCAAATACCATGTACAATTTAATGTGTTTAATAAATCAGTAAATGGCATATGCACATTGTCGTGTTAAAGAGGAACTTTTGAATTTCATCCTCATTTCTTTAATAATCCCTTTCCTACCATTTTATGATCATTAGAATTCATTGTTTACTCTGTTCTATTGCAAAAACCGTAGTTCCGTAGTAAAAGACGAGAGAATTTGAAGTACTTAGTTCTATAGCGCAATGTAACAAAGTACGGACAGGTAATATTAAATAAGTAACAATCACGACAAAACCGAATTAGAATAATACTAATCAAAGATTTATTTACATTATTTAGCTATTAAATATTTGCCTCCCGAATGCGTTTCCACTTCCCTCATCATGGCATCGTACCACGTGCCAAGTTTCGTATTTTCCAACGCATCCTTAAAAGCGTCGCATCCCTCTATGCTCTTCAGAATTCCGTACACAGCGAGGTCCGCTAAATTCGGTCGTTCTCCTCCCATAAACCTGCCACCGCGTTTTTTAATAGCTGACAGCCATTTGTTAATCTCATCGTAGAAAGACATTCGAACGTCCTCTTTCAGCTGATGCCTCTTTTTCAATCGTTTAGCTACAAGCCACATGGCTGTAGCTCCCACGTTTATCATTATTAATCTTTCCCACGTTGGAAAATATTCCGCCCATTTGCCAACCTGGTCAATTGAAATAATTATTTCTATCAATCATTTTTAAAATGAGAAGTACTTACATCGGAGAACCAATTAAAAGTTTTGTATGCCTCGTTGAGCGTCCTATATACGTTCGGTGATAGTGTGTGAACAAATACATCATCGGCCCATTGTCTCCATTTACGTTCTTGCCTAGATTTTTTGATTACTTATAGTAATTAGCTGAACAGCAGTTTTTTTTATTTACTCATTTATAACTCACATGATCTCCTCCATGTCCTTATCTGGAAACGTGCTCCCTTTGTACATCAAAAAGTATTTATTCATTATTTCATTCTTAAACTTCTGATTATCATCGAGCATTGCTATGCTCGGATAGTAGTCTACGAGTTCATCTATTTTTTGCGATTTATCCTTCAAATGTGATGACAGTAAAGAGATGATCATTGAACTATCGTTCAAGGGCTGATAACCAGATTCTGTCTCTGCCAAGAGAATCGGCACTTTCTTATAAGGGGACCATGATATTTCTTTCCTCAACACTGGATCGACTTCCACGATATCATAAGAGATACCAAAGTAGTCTAAAAATACTCTGACCTGAAAGTTTCGTTTTTACATTAAAAACAGATGGAAAGACTATCGAACTTTGTACTTGTTAAATTAATATCAATACTTTGCAACAAAAAGGACATGTTTGATATTGGTACAGTGTTAATTTTAAGTCGGAAGTATCCACGGGAAAGACAATCTGCAAAAGGTATAAAATACATGTGAAATACATTCTATCGCTCTATAATATTGTAGACTATGTTTAAACTACCTTCCTAGAGATGGGTACTGTTGGTTTTTCTTGTAATACTTGAATCCTTTCTTCCTTCCCTTGAAGATGAAATCTCTTTGAAGTCTGTTTACTTACATACCAGTTATAACCAGACGTGATCACTATACCAACTGGGAATCCAATAGAGATTCCTACTAAACTCGCTTTCAATACTGTTTTTAATGTCGAAGATTGTCGAGACGTTGACATAAAACTCTCGTGCCGCCTTGGGCACCTCTGAACAACGTTTTTAAAACTGTGCAACTCCCTGGGCAACTTTGACAGTCTTTGTAATAAGGACATTATAAAATCTTAGAATACCCACACTTTAAAGACCATAGAGTTAGAAACTAGCAATTAATAAAATAGACATAACAGATTACATAACACGTGTAATAAATTCGGCAAACGCATCAACGATCACATTTCATTTTGCTTTGGTATAGATAAAAGGGTTATTAAATAATAAAAAAATTGTGAACGAATTATTTGAACGAAATTGTATTCATCTAATTATAATTGTATCCTCCAGTCATGAACGAGTTAGTAATTACGTCAAAAACTCATTTTCTCAAACACCGTGTTACTTGTAACGAAAGTATATTTTCTAGAAAATATAGAACATTGAAAATTACAAAAGCGGTGTTTTACACGACGTATGCGCGTATGCTAATGTTCTATTTACACATGAACAGTGTAAATAGTATGCGCTTGATGCGCTCCTATATACTGTGGCTATACACTGAAATGTATTGAAAGTACGTGGAAAATACGTATTAGGAGGTTAGGAGCAGTGGTTTCAGGTCTATATTTTAAGAAACCATTTAGAGCATTGAGGGAAATATTCAGTATGGTAATTAAAATTGATGCTTCATTCTTATTTCCATAAACACTTAAATTGTTTAAACTAAAATGTGTTTTTTTCCTTAGCACGGAAGAGTGAAGGTTCGTACAACTGCAGAGCAGGAGGCAATAAAAAAGAAAGAAAGAGCTGAGAAACTTGAACATTATAAAGCTGGTATGAGCATTGTATTTGGAAAGGTAATTTTTCTTTTGCATATTTTATCAGAAAATAGGAATTTAGAGCTTTGTAATCTGTCTTGTACATTGCAGAGAAAAGAGAAAATTTATGATGATGAATTGCTGACAGTGACTGAACGTATGTTACTTCAAAACTCAGACATTTATACCTTATGGAATATTCGCAGAGAAGCAGTTGCAAACAATGATTGGTAATTATATGCTTATTGTATTATAGATTTAAGAGGTGCTACAAAGATTAATACTGTATGAATTTAATGAGCTAGGGATGAAGATTCTGTGAAACAGTTTTACCAAAACGAATTGACGCTTACTGAAAATTGTTTAAAACAAAATCCTAAATCTTACTGGATATGGTACCAACGAATGTGGGTTTTGAATCACTCAGTAGACTGCGATTGGCAAAAAGAACTAATGTTGTGCGCAAAGTGTCTGAACTTGGATGAGAGAAATTGTGAGTAGCCAGATGTCTTATATTCGATATTCAATGAGAAATGAACATTTGTTTTTAGTTCATTGTTGGAACTACAGAGAGTACGTTGTTCAGAAAGCAGGAATATCAGCGGAAGAAGAATTTCAATTTGCTACTACGAAGATTCTAAACAATTTCTCTAACTATTCTTCTTGGCACTACAGGAGTCGATTGCTGTCGAAAATGTTTTACAATTCAGATCAGACGGATATAGATGAAAGAAAGAAGGAAGGTAATATTTGTACTACGTATCAAATGAGAAATATATTGCTTAAAATTATATTTTTAATATATTTTCTTGCTTTTAGAATTAGATTTGGTAATGAACGCTACGTTCACGGATCCTAACGATTCTAGTGCTTGGTTCTATCAAAGGTGGTTATTAAGTACACACGAATCATTACCTATCCTTTCTCAAGTATTAATAGAAAAGGGGAGTGTGATCCTTCTCGCTAACAAGAACGTGGCAGCCGAGTCATTGTACTTAAAAATAGACAATGAAAACGAAGACGTTCAATGGAAATGTTTAAGAGACACCAGAGTCTCAAAATTATGGTTCGGAAAGTTTAAAAAACAGTTGTGCGAAACGAATAACGTTCAAGTCGAAATCGAAGGGACATTTTATCCGTTGCTCTGTTTCAATCAGAAGTGGATATATAGAAAAAGGAAATTGAAATCGTGTTATAATAAAGATCAATTGTTAGAACAATTGTCAAGTTACAAGCAATTGGTAGAAATGGAACCTAATAATAAGTGGGCTCATCTTACTGCCTTATTGTTAATGAGGAAAACTGACTTCACAACATTTTACGAGGATATCTTAGCCAATTTGAATGTTCTTATTAATATCGACTCGTTTCGATCTAATTATTATAAGGACTTACGTAAGTTTTGAAATACTTTTTATACTCTATGTTTTATGTACAAAATCCACGCAGCTTCCATGCTCCAAGAGTATATGAACAAATTCTGTATCACTGATTTCTTTCAGGAAGCAAATATTCGATAGAATATAAGTTGTATGAATTATGGAGTATGGAAGAAGACAAAGACGTGAAATCAGAAATTGATCTCTCGGGATTGAACCTGACCTCGCTTGGCAATAACGGACATCTCAGTTTCTTTGTAGAAATCAATTTAGGTGCAAATTCTTTATCAAACTCTTTGCACGAATTGTCTCTCCTACAGAATTGTCGAAAATTATCACTTTCCAGTAACCAACTAGAAAGCTTAAGTAAGTTTCCTACATTAGAACATCTCGAAGTTTTGTTACTGAGAAACAACAGATTGAACGATGTAGAAGAGCTGTTACAGTTGTTAGAGAAACATCGATTGAAGTTACTCGATGTAAGAGAGAACCCTTTATGTGATAATAAAGACTTGCCACCTATTATTACGGAACTAAATTACAATTCTACTTAAAATAACTTTTATAATGCGTGTATTGATGATAGGCGTTATGAAATAAAAATATCGAATTTGGTCACGGGCAAAATATACTGTTTATCCATTTCATATTATGATCAATAAATATGACTACCTTCTAATTAAAACTACTAGTACAAGTTTTCACGTACTTGATTAACTGATTTACAATTAATAGGATGAACCAGTATTGAAAAAATCTGAAGTAAATCGATGAGTGTCCATTTTTCATATTTCGCGCAACAGCTTAAAACTTGATTGTGTTATTATTAGCAGATAAAGCGGATTTCGAATCGATCGAAATATCGTTAACTGGCACGTGCCATTAATGTTAATTAATACGGAATAAAATAGTTCTAATTTTAGCTAGAAAGAAAGAAGTACCATTACTGAACGCAACCCAGATTTACCCGCGTTCGGTTTTAGCTTACTACCATTCGATTTTATTTACTCTCTGGCATATAACATGGCGAACAGTATCGCACCTCGTCGTAATTGTTGAAAAATAATATATTTCGAACATCTCTATCGTGCACGTATTCGGTCAGTCACGGTGATACGATGATTTATTTCCGAATAATTTTATCATCTCGTTATTCCTTGGCCAATATTAGTACGCGTAGTAGTACTTGATACTTATGCTTCGGTCGAAGGTGAGAGAGAGAGAGAGAGAGAGAGAGAGAGAGAGAGAGAGAGCATGTACATATGTGTCCGTATGTGGGTGTATGTAAACGTGATATACGTACTACGTGCACGTTGAATCATTACTTCTCATAACCTTTTTATGAATACGAAATAGCAGCAGATGCAATTAGACAATCTTAAAAAGATGTGGTTAAATCCGTACGTCTTGTAGCCGGCGAGCGAAGACGAAGGGATAGTAGACGAATACTAGGTATATTATCCAATGGAGTGGACCGTGTACTCGTGATTATCGCCGATTCGAAGTAGATTTTTACCGTATATCCGTACGATCTTTCCCGGGGGCGAATTTTTATTCAGAGTCTAGTTAAGTGTGTAATCTCTGCAGCGTGATCATATCATGGCCTCGTCAAATAGAAGGATTCAAATCGGCTCCGCTTGGTTTCAAACAAAAATTAACCTAAGACCACAGCGTCGAGGTATTCATCATGTCACCGAGGAGATTTTACGAAGAGTCCCCGAACTGTGCGAGTTCTCCGTCGGGCTTTGTCATATACAAAGTAAGGAACGTTTCCTCCTTCGAAATGTATACAGTAGATAAAACGCGAAGGAAATGATGTTAGATACACAGAGGCAAATTATTGTAGAACTATAAAAATACTTGCCTAGTGTAAACACTTATTATTATTATGCTTTAGTTCTTCACACATCGGCGAGTTTAGCGTTAAATGAAAATTGGGATCCGGATGTGAGAGACGATGTAGAAATGATGCTTAATAGAATAGTTCCTGAAGGTTTGGCCTACAGACACAGTTGCGAAGGACCGGATGATATGGTGAGTCTTCTTACTCTCTCTCTTCTTCTCTTTCAATTATGCTGTGCATACCTTTGATTTCTTTGAACTACCGTAATTGTAATAAATGTTTTGCATTAACGTTACATCGATGAAAATAATATGATGTTACTAAAAGTAGAACAAAAGCAGCTCTCTCTCTCTCTCCTTCTGTCTTTTATCTTTCTCTTTCTCTATTCTTTTAAATAATACATTTTAGTTAAAGTAAAATTTAAGTTATTTCGAAATTCTTTTAAGTACAAGTAGCAGCTTTATATAA